TTTCCTCTTTCTGAGGCGTATTTAGACTACTCTGACCGTCTAATCCATGCTATGTGATCATGATAGGGTAGTAGACAGTCAAATGTGTACATAAACAAACTATTACACTACCAAAAATATTTAAATACTAATATGGGTCAGTTCTGAGTACTGGGAAAGAAACTAGCATATCTAAGGATCGGCTACTATGATTGTAGTCACGCAAGTTGTACTCTATAGTAATTGTGAGTGGCTATCTATAGACCACATTCGTGTTTCCCGCATGCATTCTACGCGTCTCGCACCTAATCACTTTAGGGGCGGGACAACGGCCGCCTGAGCCATTTACTTTATGGGATTATACCTCCCTCCTTCGCCCCTGGAGCACGTACCCGGGTAAGAAACTACACCTGTCCAACTTCATTATACCGTCTATCAAGATGGCACGATATCCTAGTGTCTTGTTTCCCGCAATCTACTACGCTATTCAATACGGGTTTGCAAGTATTCTCCCTGGTAAGCACACCACCCTCTGCAGAATGCGTCATCTATCGTCCGCGAAACCTCATTACCACCAAGCCGTTACAGCCGCCGCTGTGTTCAAAAATCGATTTGGGTTCACAGTCCTTCAAACGGGGCTCGCTTATGGACTTGCTCTGTTGATTGGGGGGTGTTTGGGTGAGGTATATGGAAGGTTGACTCTATCTGTACAATGCCTCACGCTTATCCGTAATTATGCCGCAGCTTGCAGGAGGCATGGTCATCGATGCAATCTTGAAACGCAAATCGCGGAGTGTAACAGAAGAACATGACCGTCATCCAGAGGCCCGACTGCAAGCAATCTGGACCGGAGCGATACTCGTCCCTGTACGCTGTCCATCGAGAGAGGTTTAGTTTTCTAAAGCGTATTAATATGTCGAATTCAAGGCCGGATTGCTCATCTACGGCTTCTGCATCGCCAAAGATGGGGTGCATTGGTTGGGTGCTGTCATAGGTATAGGCATCGCCTGCTTCGGTTTGCAGGTCATCACGGTCAGTTGCTCATGCTCAGTGCCGTGAAGGTCGAGGCTCTCTCACGCACCTTGCCATAGACGATCTGCTATACATACTCCATCGACTGTTATCAGGAACACGCTAGCGAGGTGACTCTTCCTCTGCAACGTGAATTGCGCAGATCATAGCGCTGACGTCCGTCGTCACAGGTCTCGCAATTGTTCAATTTTATTCGTCAAGAGATTGGTATGACGTTCGCCTTCTACGCCGTGATTTTGGGGGATCGCATCGGGTTTCAGTACGAGATGCTCATGTTCGCGGGGCTTGGAAGCGGCGTCGCCTTGGCGCTCATGCTCAAGGGAGCTCGCTGGAGGGCACGCTTGGAGTGATCGTGTTATACGGCTATACTACTACTAGTAGAGTACACGCGTCCACGCCAAGAATACTACCCTCGCTCACCTACTGAGCAATGGTAGCGAATGCATCGCCCGTTCACGGTGTGAGTGGCGGCAAATACCATGCTCTTTCGCCCTCGCGTCGTTCTTTCTCCGCAACTGTCCAACCGTTCCCGAGCCAATAATTGTAATCTGGATTGTCTCAGGCACGAATGCAAGACGCTGTGGTCTCCGCTTGAACCGCGCAGCGCACTGCAAGCCGCTATGTCCCGCGCCCACTTCCGAGGGAAACGATACTTCAGGAGGCGCCGCTATTGAATACGTACGCTGCACCTACGTATAACGACCTCCGGCTCCCGCTCTATCTGCTCGACCTCGCGCGTCCGCACCTCGCCCCAGGTCACCGTACGCTCCTCGTAAGCGTACCCGCCTCCTTGGTCCTCCTCGTGCCCGCTGATTTCGTCCAGCATCATGAGGACCGTGTGCGCCTTCCACTCCCCCTCCGAGTTTTGTACGAGGTTGTCCAGCCCGCGGCACGGGCCAACAGCGTTGTGGAACGCGAGGGCGGTTTCTACGGTGGGCACCGGGCGCCCGGGCACGAAGGACGGGAGGATACCGCGGTCTCGTTCGAGCGCAAGATTGCGCACCCTGGCATTGGAGAGTGTAGGCACCAGATAGGCGGAGATGGTGGGGGCGCTGGGAGACGACAAGCCAGGGCTATGCCGGCATAACCGGCTCCAACTGCGCGTAGTCTATTCAGCCGCAGCACAATACACGAACATGATCTCGAGGTTGATCAACTCACTGACGACGATGCGAACTCGTCTGTTGTGATCAATCGGTTCTTCTAACATCCTTGAAGACGGTCTGTGCCTCCTAACATCGGGGTCTTGCGAGCTTACGTCGCAGAGTAAGCGGCGCAAACACAAGCACAGTCTGACATCCTTATGGCGGAAGATTAAGTGCCGGAGATCCAGTCATCAAGTACCGAAGCGCCGCGCAACAACGAAGGCGTCAGACCGTGTGTACCTCGCGTTACTCGAAGAACGGCTTAACGGGCAGTACATCCTTTTCTGGGGAAATCCTCGGCCCTGAATATTGACCGGGTGACCAGTAAAGAAAGCCAAGTAAGGAGTATTTGCTTTGGTTCGGTCGTTCCACATAGGGCAATTCCAGAGAAGTGCAACATTCGTAACAATGAGGCTACGCTTATGTCATCAGTCCGGTTATCATCTTTGCCGGCGGTTACCGGTTACCGATCGTTCGCTTTGCTTGTTTTCGAGACGATGGTTCTAGCTGGGCCAGTCGTTCAAAACATGCGTCCCTGAATCTTCAACTACGTTCTTATGGTATCGGTACCCATAATATCTGGTTGTAGCCATCTCAGTCCCTTCGGCCTTGATTGAAGGATGAAGCGAAGTCGTTGATGGAACGAGGACTAATCCTTGCAACCTGGGTCTGGCTATTTGTCGCAAATCGGACATCTGCTGGAAGGCTTCTGCTCGTTCTCTCGGGATTCCATCCCTTGAAGACGCGGTCGTGTGCTATCATACGCCGCGCACCGAAGTGAGCACCAATACACCTTGCCCCGCTCAATGTCACGCTGCATGGCCATATGACCTTGATTCGAGATTGCAAGGACTCACTTCGGACCTGACACCTGCAGACCATGCACGGAATATCTTCGGCGAAGTGAACCCCCCGAGGCATCATTGACGCCGCTTCGCCTCCGACTTCGCGGCGGCGCGCCATGGCGTACGTGATCGTATAAAATGCTCATCGAAGCCTCGAGACTCATTTCAGCTTACTTTCAAGATGCGGCTCTGCGTGATATGGACATTGCTCGCGATCATATCGACCGCACATGGAAGCCCCCTCATTGACGCGACTAAGGACCAAACTGTGACGATTTCGAACACGCACCCTCTTATCTTTTACCATGGACGCTGGGACAGTTCTCCGGGTACATGGTGGTATGTCTCCCCCAGCCTTTCACCGTCCCCCCCCCCCTAAGCATCATTGATTGAGCGAATTGTCGCATAGGGCAGATTCTGGGCTCAAGCTGAACGTCCAGGATTTGTCGGCTTTGACGCTCAACCTCGGCTCGCACACGACATCGCCTTTGGCCTCAGTAGGCGTGTCCGTTGACAACTCGCCATTCTACCAGGTGAACGTCTCGGAGGGCGCTAACGTCATTCCGCTTTCCGCGCCTTCATCTCCGGATTTCGAGGGGGAGAAATCAGGCTCAACGCTCGTGAGGATAAATGTCGAAGGCTGGCAGAACAACCGCATCAACCTGGAAAGCATCACGCTGAATAAAGTATATCGCAGATCAACTGATGTGTCGGACACGCCGAATCTGACCATATTTTATCACCAGGGCGCAAAGCTGCTGCCTTACGAGCGCTCTAAACTCGCGTTCCAGTTCATCGGCGACTCGCTTTCTGCGGGCCAGTACCTTCCCCATGGCGTAAACCAAGCGTGGCCCTTCCTCACAGGCGAGTTCTTCGGGGCCGAGCATAATATAAATGCCCAACCAGGCGCCACGCTTAGCGTGAGTCCTTCAAACCTCTATTGTACTGGATAAGTCACCCAGACGATCATCGCAGGATATCCCGTCGTACGGTAACGTCCACGGCGTGTCCTTCGAGTTCTTCAGAACGGAGGACACGGGGTACTATTACACGACCGACCACAACTACACCACCCCTTGGAACTTCGCACGCGACGTACCGCCCACGCACGTCGTCGTCCACATCGGTGCGAACGACGCAAGCCAGAACGTTACCGACACCGGGTTCTTCCAGGCAGGTCGCTCCCCATGAAACGTGATGCCCCAGACCCCAACCTGACATCTCTTTGCGTAGGTGTACGACAACTTCCTGACACGATTACGGACGCTGTACCCAACGCAACCGGTCTTCGTATTCACCCCTGTAAGCGCTGTACACTTCATCCTGGAGCAGTGGCGCCTAACAAAAGTCGGATCAGTGGGGCTGGCCGCAACCCGATGGCCCTAATAGCTATTACTACGAGACCGTCTATCCAGAAATCGTCAAAGCCCGGCACGATATAGGAGACAGAAACGTCTTCCTTGTAAACACCACAGGATGGGTGACCTACGAGGACGTGTTCCCTGGGTACGTTGATCTCTGCAGGTCAGCATATGTTTGCTCATCGGATATCTACGCAGAAACATACACCCGAGCGTGGCAGGTCACATCAAGATCGCCGGCCTGTTCGAAAAATGGCTCGAGAACTGGGGGTTGAAACAGGTGTAGTTGGCGAGACTGTCGCAGAAGCCACATTAGATAAATGATATAATGTCTGGAAGAACCAGCAGCACTGGCGTGGACGCCGATCCATATGACCACTGGTCCGCATGCGTGAAGGATCGCGCCGGAACAATCGAGGCTCGCTGGATATTGCGAGCCTTGATGAGGCCGAGAACCTCGCGACCGCGACAGTGCCCCACACCTCGTTCAGCGGGGTAACGAAGACTCCGCGAGCCGACTTGACGGGGAGGCTGAAAACTCTCTCGCTGGACTTGAGCTTAGGAATTGGCGTAGTGCCGAAGTCGGAGCGGTATACTAGCACGGGACAATCACAGCCAAAGTATTTCATTACAAACTACATTTGTACAATTTTCTTTATGATGATTTATACTTCATCCTCAGATTGCTGTCCAAACGTGGTTTGCACTTACAACAAAAGTGTAGTAATATATTTGAATATGGTAGGTGACCTTCCATACGTAGACATAATGTACTTCTCTATTTCAAGTAAAGATCCAATTTTGACGGGGATTTTAACAATTGATATCGATTTCCATAAAGAAAAATGTACAAACGTAGTTTGTAATGAAATACTCTGGCTGTGAATGCCGTTGTAGTATGAGGCCGCCTCGTGAGGAGAGAGAGCACGCTGAGACATGACGGCTGTGTTGCAGGTCCACGACGAATCACCATGAATAGGGGAACTAGGCGAGGTAGGGCCCCGACACTCGGAGCCCCTGGGCACTGAGTCCAGCAAGGACAAATAGATCGAGGTCTAGACCGCACATCGGGGATAGCAGCGTATGAATTCTGGGAGACCAGCAGTATTAACAGGAGACCGTGATATCCTACATGCGATGCGATTGTTCAAGAGATAACAGAACAAAAAGATGTACGCCAAGACATCAACGAGGACATTCTATTGGTTCTTATACGCCTCCTGTGAACCCAGCAATCGTCAAACGTCATCCTCGAACGAAATCAACTGAAACCCTCAAAACATACCTTGATCTCCTTCTCGAACTTCTCCGCCACCTTCTTCCGCTGCACCTTCTGCGCCGCGGTCACTATCCCGTTCTCTGGCGTCCACTCCTCGTCGCTGAGCACGACGGCCTGGAGGAGCTCCATCGTCTTGAACCCGCTCTTCTTCCCCGCCGCGTTGCACTCCTTCATCACCAGTTCGCTCACGCGCGCGTCATGGCAGAGCTCGCGCAGCGGCGCGTCCGCGTTGACGCCCGTTAGGGACTTGAGCGCGTGCCTGAGATGGTGCTCGTTCGGGACGACGATCGCGATCGGCTGCTTGGCGTCGGTCGTCGCGTGCACGCAAATGTTGGACACGAGGTTGCACGACTTGTACGTCGCCTCGAGCGATTCGAGCGCGATGTACTGTATGCGCATGGCCCCGCGTTCGGTCAGAGAACAATCCACACCGTAACGTGCGTGGCTGAGCTCACCTCGCCTCCCTGAAGCTTGACCAGGTTCTTGATCCGGTCCACGAGGCTCAGCGTCCCGTCGGGGTTCCACCGGCCGACGTCACCCGTCCGAAGCCAGCCGTCTTTGGTGAAGATCGACTCGTCGTTGTTGAGGTCGTCGCGCTTGTAGTATCCCTTCGTGACCGCCGGCCCTCGGATGCACACCTCGCCCTGGGGCGGGTTTCCCTGGGCATCGTATCCGGCCTCCTTCACGTCCAACAGCTTAATCTCGATCGCCGGCACCGGTAGCCCAACCGATCCGTACTGCATCAGCTCCGGCGGGAGGATGGCGCACATGCCGCACGACTCGGTCATCCCGTACCCTATGATGATGTCATCGAACGACAACACACACAAAAAAGCGATAATAAACCATAATGAGACACGGGGCAAAGAATCACATGCGAGATGTCTGACCGATACTGACCTTGCAAGAGCTGGACCAGCGCGAGGTTGAGGAACTCTTGCGTCTCCTTGCTCAACGCCGCACCACCGCTCAGCGCGAGCCTCAGCCGACCGCCCGTCGCCGCCTTGACCTTGCTGAGCACGACGGCGTCCACGACCTGCGACAGCCCCGGCACCTTCGCCCTCTTCACGGTCAACGCGCCGGAGAACACGCTCTTGGTCACCGCGCCGCCGCTCTGGACCTTGCCGACGATGCCCTTCCGGATCAGCTCCCACACGGCGGGAACGCCGACCATGATCGTCGGCTTGAACGCGACCATGTCGCCGGAGCAGCCGCGGACGGACTGGTCCGTCAGCGTCTTGACGCGGCCGTAGCCGATGGTCATGCCGACGAAGTAGAGGCAGAGCTCGACGATGTATTCGAGGATGTGCGCGAGCGGGAGGTAGGCGAGGAAGGCATCGTCCGTGTTGAAGTGGTGCCCGAGCAGCTTGTACACGGCGCCGACGGCGGCGATCGCGTTCGAGTGCGTGATGACGACGCCCTTCGGCGCGCCGGTCGTGCCCGAGGTGTACATGATGCACGCGACCGAGGACGGCTTCGGGAACCGATCTTTGGTCGTGTCGGGGGAGAGCGGCTTGCCACGCGCGCGGAGCTCGTCGATGGTGAGCACCTGGATGTTCTCCCTCGTCTGCCGGATGGAGTCGAGCACGGCGGGCTTGGCCTCGCCGGAGTAGATCACGATCCGGAGCGAGGGCGTGTTGCCGATGACCTTGGCGAGGACGGGGAGGAGTTCGGCGTCGGTGTAGACGCCGACGCAGTTCGGCTCGTTGAGCGAGTGCGTGAGGCCGGCTTCGCCTAGCGAATCATAGGCGGTCGCGATGGCTGTGGAGATGGACGCGCAGGCGTGCGCGACGAGTTGCCAGTTTAGGCTGAACGGTGCGCCCATTCAGTAGCCGTAAAGGGAGATACGCGCTCGTCGGACGCACCTGGTAGACGCATAGACGTTGAAGATGTCGTCCGCGGTGACGCCGAGGTCGACGAGCCCCCTTGCGACCTCGGACACGGCCTCCTTGACCTCGAGGTAGTTCAAGTACTTGTAGTCGCTCAGCTGGAAGTACTTCCACTTCTTCGTCTCCTTGACCTCCTTCCCGCCGACGTGCTTCGTCACCTCCTTCTCCTCCTCGATGATGTCGACGACGTCGCGCCAGCCAAGCGCCTTCTTCGTCCCGTGCGTCCGCGCGGCATAGAGGACGCAGTCGTGGATTGTCTCGATGCCCTCGAGCGGCTGCTCGATGAGCTTGTCGGCGCAGATGGCGAGCCGGCGCGCACGGCTCTCGCCGGGTTGCGCAGGCGCGCCTACCTCGACGGAGCCTGCGCCAAAGTTCACTTTAGTCGCCATGGTTATCGCGTGTACTGTCGTGGTGCTGGTGAGAAGTAGAGGGTATAGAGCAGTAGGAGGGAGAGGAGGAGGAGTAAATTAGAACGATGTATAGGGCTGTTGCGTGGCCGGCGCGGAGCTGTTGGCCTTTCAGCCGTACGGACGCGACGCTAGCGTCAGCCACCGAGGTGACGAAATGTGGGGTCGCCCGACTTTCAGACTCAGCTCGTTCAAGCTTGTTCCGCTCCCCTCGTCCTGCTTGTTCATCGCCAACGCGTTACCTGCCCCGAGCCCAACGTAATAGTGCTACTGTGCCTAATCGAACGCGACGTGAAAGCGGCTGCGACCAACAACCAATCCGGGTGTTTATGGCGGCTGGCTAAGCGCCGTTAGCGGCGGTGTACCAACCCTACTTCCCCGCCTCGAAAGCGAATGACCTGCGGGTCGATTCAACAGCTTTGGGAGATGTCTTGTCTTTCATATAGCATATCTGATGACTGCATTCTGCCCGCGATCGACTCTGGGCACTCCTATTCAGCAGGCAAGGGCATCATGGCATTCTTGGCACTGTCACCGGTTGGTAAGTCCATGGAGCTGAGACTGCTAAACGGCTACGGGATTGAAAAGTAAAGAGCGCATTATGAGTGCTCTGTCTCTGCATTCCGGGTATGGTAGACGAGAGCGCTGAGCCTCGCAACACTCCACGCAAGGTAACTGTCCTTTAGAGATCAGGCTGTCGAGCAGCATGGGTCATGATTACACATTCGACCCCTTTTCCTCTTACTTCGGAAGGAGATAGCTAACATGGAATATGACCCGCTTTACAGCACAAGATATGTTTCTATGCCTGTGTCATCCTCTCAAGGTCACCTTAGGTATACTATGCGCGAGAACTCTCATACTATATCCGATGCTGATAACAAGGTACCCAGAACTTTTCTTCGTTCAGATAAGTGGCTCACAGTCTGCAGGACTCCCAATGCCTACCACTGCGAATAACCTAGATATCCCGTTTTCACGATAAGAGCTGCGAACAGCATCGGCACCGAATTCGTGCACGCATCGCAGCCCTCACCTATCACCGGACTCCCAACCATCCAAAAATATCCGCGCAGCAGAAGCTTCTGAGATTCTCGAGTTATAGTACGCTCTCACATCGCTATATGTTGTACCATCGTGGCCTCACTTTAACAAATTAGGTGACCCGCGCATCGGAACTCTGAGAAACCGCGTCCGGTGATAAACACGCAAGACCAGCCGCTTCCGTGAAGGGCACGACCACCAGCAAACATTTATCATGGTCGCCGGCACCGATGCTGAAGCTCTGCAAATCTCGACCTCCTGGATTGCGTCCTTGGACAACGCATTCGCCTCCAACGATGTAGACGCGATCGTCTCCCTATTCCTACCCGACGGCTGGCTGCGCGACCTGCTCACCTTCACCTGGAGCCTCCGCTCGCTCCACGGCGCCCCCACCATCTCCGCCTACCTGGCGCCTACACTCTCCAATGCCAGGGTGCGCAATCTTGCGCTCGAACGAGGCCGCGGTATCCTCCCGTCCTTCGTGCCCGGGCGCCCGGTGCCCACCGTAGAAACCGCCTTCGCGTTCCACAACGCCGTCGGCCCGTGCCGCGGGCTGGCCAACCTCGTACAAAACTCGGAGGGGGAGTGGAAGGCGCACACGGTCCTCATGATGCTGGACGACATCAGCGGGCACGAGGAGGACCAAGGAGGCGGGTACACTTACGAGGAGCGTACGGTGACCTGGGGCGAGTTGCGGACGCGCGAGGTCGAGAAGATAGAGCAGGAGCCGGAGGTCGTTATACGTAAGTGCAGCGTACGTATTCGATAGCGGCGCCTCCTGAAATGTTGTTTCCCTCGAAAGTGGGCGCAGGACATAGCGGCTTGCAGTGCGCTGCGCGGTTCAAGCGGATGGGTATCCGGGCGCTGGTGATCGAGAAGAACTCTAGGGTGGGTCGTACCATGGACCACAGACGATCGCCTACGCTGATAGTCCGCACTCAGGTCGGCGATAATTGGCGCCAAAGGTTGGTCGAGTTATGATCTGCGCCGCCGTAGCTTATACCATACATATCCAGATACCCCTCGCTGAAACTGCACACGCCTCGGGCGCACCATCAATGTAACATGTCCGTTGCTTGAGGATGTCTACGCTGACTCGGATGATTCAGTTTTGTACGCCTCGTTTCCGTCCACGTGGCCCACCTGGACCCCGCGCGACAAGCTCGCCGACTGGATCGAGTCCTACTCCAAGTTACAAGACCTCGTCGTCTGGACGAACTCGCAGATCCTGCCCGTACCGACATACGACCCGGCCGTCAAGCGCTGGACCGTCCAAGTCGTGCGCGAGGGATCCGAGCGCGTCCTACGCCCCGCGCACATCGTCCTCGCCACCGGCACGCTCGGAGACCCGCTCGTACCCACCATCCCGGGCCAAGCCGCCTTCCCCGGCCCCGCGATCCACTCCTCCTCTTTCCCCGGCGGCCAAGCGTATGCCGGACAGCGCGTGCTGATCGTCGGTGCGGGGACGACCGCCGCGGACGTCGCGCAGGACCTCGTCTACCGCGGCGCGTCTTCGGTCACCATCCTCCAGCGCTCGTCGACCACCGTCGTCTCGATCGCGTACAACACCGAGAGGCTGTTCAAGCGGCGCTTTCCGGAGGACGTGCCTATCGGTGTCTTAGACCTCCGGAGCGCGGCGACGCCGCTCGGGCTGCTTAAGACGATCTTGCAGGCGCAGCAGGCGGAGGCGAGGGAGTTCGATCGGGAGATGATCGAGGGCTTGCATCGGGCAGGGTTCGCGACGAATGATGGGCCGGAGGGGGCCGGCCAGTATTGGGGCGTATTGACCAGTTTGGGGGGTGAGCTTTTGACGGTGCTGCCATCGGCGTTCGCAAAGGTGTCTGACGTCTGTTTTACCTAGGATTCAGTCAGTGACCGTGACCAAATGAACATTACTTTACAGACTCTGACACGTGAGGGGTACAGCGGTCGACGTGGGATGCGCGGCGCTCATCACGGACGGATTGGTCAAGATCAAGCATGGCGTGGATATTGCCAAGTTGGAGGAGAAGAGGGTGGTTTTTGGCGACGGATCCGAAATGGAGGTAGACGCCCTGATCTACGCGTGAGCGCCTCCCTCACAGGCGAGCGAATTGATCTTAAACCTCTTCCTTGAATATGCAGAACGGGGTATAAGAACATCCGGGACTGCGTGCGCGAGATATTCGGGAGCATCATCGACAAAACGTCGCCGGTATGGGGGGTAGATGAGGAAGGCGAGCTCCGGGGCTGCTATAAGCCTTCCGGACAAGAGGGTGTACGGTGTTATATCTAAACAGGCGGTAACATACTAATGCCAATCACCTTCGCAGCTTTGGTTCGCTGCAGGGGACTTTTTTGGACCCCGCTTCTACTCTAAACAACTTGTGGGTACCCGTTCATCGAGCCCGAGGCCAGGATGATTGAGCTGCTATGCAACAGGCGTTGCAGATCAAGTCACAGCTGCTCGGGATCAACTGAGAGCTTGTTATGCTATGATGAGAGGACGTGGAATGGGTAACCCAAAACTCATCGATTCTTGCGTCCGAGTGAGAGTCGAGATTGACAGAGGACTATGTACTTATCTGACTGTAAATCCTAATTATGGCCACGATCTTAACCAGAATGACAAGTCGCCGATCACAATGACCGTAAGGTCACAGGATGCCTCATTTGAGTGGACATCCGTGTCCAAGACGATCCAGATAAAAATTGATTACGAGAGACAAGCGCATGCTTCAGCATGTCTGCAATCCAACGATAGTAGTGACACAGCTGATAGAGCGAGCCTTCAGATCTATGTACGGGATTCTTGGCAGAACGACAAGGTTTACATCTTAGTACGGGTTCTTCTCGAAGACGAGTTCCACCTTGTGCCCTTTCGGTTTCAAGATGAGAAGGTCAACGTCCCTGTATCAGCGTAGATCGCATTAGCCATGATGACCAGCAACCACGTAGGAACGAAAACATACTTCATCGTCTGGTGGGTCGCGTGCGGCCCCGGCTTGAACTTGTACCGCCGGACGAGGTTCGCGATCACGGTGTAGATTTCAAGCTCGGCAAACCTTGAAAGAAATAGCGGTCGGTTAAAGACAGACGGAACGGCGCCGAGAACCTGAGGGGGGGGGGACTTACGGCTGTCCCTGGCACGAGCGCACGCCCGTCGACCACGGCATGTACGACGCCGTCAGTTCCGGCGTGTTCTTCACTTTGAGGACGCCGTCTACCTCTTCGAGCCAGCGGGAAGGGTCGTACACCTCCGGGTTCGGGAAGAACTCCTCATCGCGGTGCATCGCATAAGACAGGCAGCCTATCGTCTGCCAGCGATCCATTTCATTTATCAGCACCCCCGAATGGAAAGGCGAATAACCCGTTATATCGAGGCTGAACGTGCTTACCGTCCCGGCGGGCAGATAGTGCCCTTGGTGCACCGCGCCGCCTTCGGGGACGACGCGGGGCAGGTAGATCGGCGTCGCCGGGTAGCGCCGCAGCGCTTCCTTGATGACGGCGGTCAGGTAGGGCAGTTTCCGGAGCGACGCCAGGTCGGGGAACGCGCCGGGATCGGGGAAGGCTGCGATGAGCTCGGCGCGGAGCGTGTCGTAGACGTGCGGGTGGCTCGCAAGCGCCCACATCAGCCTGGAGGAACGTCAACGGGCTACCTTGGCGCGCAAGCAGGGGGGTACGGACCACGACAGGGTGGTCCCGGTGGTGTCTGTGCCGCTGTTCGAGATAGCCCGTCGGTGCGTTGAATGCAAAACGGGCCGTGTAGGACTCACGCGATGATGTATGTGACACACTGCGTAAACAGGTCATCGATCAGCGCAAGGCGCAATATAGAAACTATGCGCACCATGGACACGAGCATCTCTTCGGACATACTCGTTCCGGTCACCGGGTCCGTAGAATCATACAAGTGGGCGATCATGTTGTAGCGCCCCTTCTCTTCGCCGCTTCCGCCACCTCCCTTCTCGTACTCCCTTATCAGGTTTTGACCAAACTGAGTGCAAGCCGCGTCATCAGACGAGAGAAAACCCAGGAGCCCGTGGTGCTCGAGCGTACCTCCAACAGGCGCTCCTCCGCCTGGACGATGTTCCGCAACGAGTGCACGGGGACTTTTCGCAGCGCCGCGTACACCCAGGGAGGAACCGACATCTTCATCGCGATCGCCGTCACGGCCAGGTCCATGTCGACCATAAACTGCGGGTTCTTGCCGGAGCTGCAAGCGGAGACAGAGACACGGTCAGGAGTCACCGATCCCGCGTACAGACGGAAACGCACGGCGACTCACGCGAGCGCGCCAAAGTCCCTCCCGAAGGCAGCCTCTCCCAATCTGCGTCGCGGAGATCGTCAGAGAGACGTTCATTCTAGTAGGGGAGGAGGGAGGGGAGGGGGGGGGGGTGGAGAGAGAGAAAGAGAGAGAGACGTTTACATGTCGAACGCGAAGTGGCGGTTGACGGGCCACATATCCAGTGCGCGGCCGCAGGATATGCTGTCGTCGAGCACGCCGAACAGCTTTTCGAGCGTCGTCACCAGGGGCTGCTCGAGCGATCGGAGGCTGTCGCTCGCGAAGAGCGGGTTGGTCAGGCGGCGCATCCGGCCATGGGCGGCGGGTTCTCTGTGTTCGCACGCAATCACGAAATCGCGCGTCAAAAGCGTCGTCAAAAAATCGGGGTTTTTTTATAAATTATGTGTCAAGATAGAGAGAAAAAGGTCATACTCACGTCACGGATGTGATGTTCTGGAGGTCGTGCAGGCGGGCGCGGGTGACGCGCGCGTCCTTGCGATACTTGTGCGTCGTGTAGATCTCTTTCAGGTCTTTGGGACCGCGCACCGCGACGGCGTTCGGGCCTATGCGCACGATGGGGCCGTACTCCTGCGCAGGAGGATCAGCGGGCACGAACGGCGTTCGCGCAGGTGTGGAACCACACGCACGTTGAACGCTTCGTTGATCGCCGCCGCGCTTCGGGACTGTATGGCTACAGACGAAAAAAAAAGAATCTGAGCGAGCGAAGAGGTCGTAACGTGCGAGTGACTATGGTGTGCGTACTGTTCCAGATGAGCCAGATGTCCGTCAGGGCGGCGAGTTTGGGCCCTGGTATCTTTCTCAACGGAGATAGAAAGAAGCGTCGGACGATCTGCGCCGGAGGAAGGTCAGCGAGCTGCGGCGCGTTCAGGAAGGATTCGTCGCGCGCTCGCTCACATGCGCTACCAGAAAGAACGCTCCGGCAGTCAAGGCGACCGTCGTCGGGCCGTAGGTAGCGAAGAGCGGCATGGGTGGTGAAGGTGACGGAACGGGGCGACGCGAAGATATAGCGCGTATATATAGAGGGCCCCCCATAAGCGTCTCCGCTAGGGAGTCTCACTCCGCGCTAATGGTGAGTGCCTGTCCGAAGAGTTGCCTTTTAGTGCTAAGCTGGGGTGGTTCCGCCGCAATCGCGTCTATGCTAGGGACGGGCGCTTACCGCGAAAGACCCGAGTGCCCTTGGTGATGCTACAAGTTGCGCTTTGCAATAAGACGCTGAAGGACGCGGAAGCGGGGAGAAATGGGACCGCAACGACATCGCTTCGTATGTCTGGAAAGGGGGCATGCCGGCATGCGCGCCATAAGTATCAAAGTAACCGTTCGCGTTTATCGCCTGCGCCCGAGACCGATTCCAGTCAAAGAAGCCGCGAAGTCCATGGATTGAGTTCGAGCTCAGTTATGGGTCGCGGAGTTCTCATATTCGCATATCCCCTGTGCAACAACCAGTTGAGCCTTTGAAGCTCGAGGGAGATGGTTAGAATCCATTCCAAAGCTCAACCCAACTTAAAAGGCACCGATGCGGGTGACAGCGGAAGCAAGCGGAACCCCACCATCGGCATTTCCCGAGATGGCAACGCACATGCTATACGCAATGTGTCACAGAAACAAGTACACCGACGACATGTACCCCACGTTATTGACCTTGCTGAGTTATGTATGTAGCTAACCATTCCAATTCCCCAATAGAATAAAAGCATATCGATCAAATTTGAACACAGAACTGAGCCGAAAGAAAAAAAAAATCGCGGTTAGCCATGGATGTCACTGTATCACGAAAGGACACTGAACACCCACTCCGCTGTTCAACGCATCGATCTCGCAGCGTAAACCGGGGCAGCAGGTGAGGTCTCCGAGATTGTTACAGATCTTCGTCGCACCCATGCAAGGTCCGTTGCAGGACGGGTCCAGGAGCGGGTTGCACGGCTGTTGAGGGGCGGCGACGGTGCATCCGGCGAGCGCGACAGCCACGGCGGCGACAGCGACGATGGAGCGGAACATTGTTTTTTTGTTCTGGTTCTGTACGATTGGGTTCAGTGCCACGGACGAGCGGTTCAAAACGGTGAAGCTGCGTACAAGATCGTTGGGTGTGAAAAAGGGTTGAAGGACGATAGAGGGGTTGAGGTGCTGGTTGGCGTTGGCTCTGGGGCTGTTGTCGTCGCGACGTGCCGGCTTTTATACGTTTCTCTGCTCCTTCTTTCGAGCCGGAATATGGTAGTTCGCGAGAGCGTTGCGGTTGCAGGTTTGCTATGCTAGCTCAGCGGTCGGGTTTCCGGTGCCACCGCAAGCCTGCCATGGCGTTCGAGAGGCACATCGAAGTGGTCGAGGAGGATCTCCAGAGGGAAGACGCTTGGAGCTCCACAGGCCTGGGCCGACTAGGAGGAGGGGAAGGAGGCCGCGCTCGGTATGGCCATGTCTATCTTGGGGTGTTGCATCGCGATCCCGTGCCTTCGATCGGACGGTGGAGTATGGAGCGTGCCTGCGCCGTTGAAAATCAGCGGCGAAGACGGCGAGATCTGCCGCCACGAGCGTCGCGTGCACAGCTCAGCGGCCGGTCGCTGCCTCCGAGAGGCACGAAGCTGTCGCGCCTGTCACATTTGGGCGGGCGATGTAAATTACCGTCGAAGCGCAGATGCGGGACGGTAGCGTCGCATTCGGTAATCGCGAACGCTCGTTTGATTCCTATGGGGCTATATTTGGGAATACGACGGACAGCGAAGCAGAGCAGCGTGGTGGAGGACCTGGATACTCCACCATAGCGTTGGAAGAGGTAGCCCCCCTGGCCTAGATTCGGCATGTAGACGAAATTGGAAATCCGATACCAAGTGGGCCAAGTCGACGACGGACGTGAGTAGAGCACTGAGCATTCCATAGTCGATGACCCAGGGGAAATACGATATGCGGGAGCAAGGCTTGCAGAGGCCAGAGAGCGGCCCAATATCATCCTTAACGAACTTCGACCGATGTCGTAGTCGTCGCTTGTCAGTTATGGAAAGCAGCGAATCGACGTCCGACCTCGGAAACCCCCACGGGGAGGCGCCGAAGTCGCTCGTCGACACTCAGGAGGGGGGCAGAAGGATAGTGTTGCCAGGTATTATATTAGGATTTTACGGAGCAGTGAAAGCACCACTGATACGTTATCCGTCTTACGCTCAGGTCGGCCGCCAATTAGGCATTATCATCGGTCCGGTGAAAAGTGATGCAAGGATCTGCGAATGACCTCGGCGCTGAGCGCTATGCGGCGGCGATTCCTTATGTTCGGACTGGCCACGCGCTCGTGCGCGGCGACGCGAACTGGACGCGAAGCGCGGACGCCGTGCGGCTCTCGTTTGAGCACGCCCCAGAGCGCAGGGGCGGGCCGTCGTCGTACTGAACACGCGCACTTCTGGGCGTGAGGGAACCAGACCGCGCGCTGCGCGAGCCCGGGCCGGCAGCGGAGGAAAGGCACAGGACGTGCGCGCGCGGCGAGGTGGGGGAGAAGGTGGTGGAGGAGGAGGAGGAGGAGGACGTCGGCGGGGCAGGGGTACGGGAAGACGGGAGGAGCTGGCGTCGCCCCAGAGGAACCGGGCGGGGTCTGCGGGGCCGGGGCCGGGGCCTGGGAAAGAAGAGGGGATGGGCTTCCTTTGACCGGGAACGCTGCGAGCCGGATGCAGGGCCCGTGCGCGACGTATTGGTGCGAGTTGTCGCGGGAGAAAACAAGTTGGAGCCGGTGAGCGGCGAGCGGGCGTCGGGCGCGCGCCAGATGGGGTCGTCGCGGTAACATGTCGACGGGTGCGGGTCGACGGAAGAGGGGGTAAGGCGCGGCATTTGGGGTGAACAAGACGGCTTGGACGGAGGACGGCTGTGGCGTGGATGAAGTTAGAGGGCCTGGGTGTGGACGATGAGGGAAGTGGCTCGTGTACTGTATGTCCCCGGAGGGCTGAGGCAGTTGGCGTAGACCGTCACGCGGGAGCGTGTCCACCACGAGATGTCGTCGGCGACGAGATTCGGGCAGTTGTTCAACGGTCAGGAGAACGCATTTTTTCTTCGTGGGTGATGTACCTTGAACGAGAGACACGCCGGCCCTCCGCAGATGCAGCAGTACAGCTTCCTGTCCACTATTGGCGGGATCATTGCTGCAGGAAAGGGGTCTGAAGCGAGCACAAGGATCGTGCGCGATACTTATGCGTTCGGAGCTGAGGAAAGGCTTCGAGCGCGAGTAGCCATGCGCTCGTCAAACAAAGCCGCCTGAGGTAATCGTCGATCCAGGCGGCAGGCAACGACGCAATGCGCCAAGCCGTAGGGGATTCGAAGGAGATCATTGTCATTAGCCGCAGGGCTGTGTTTCATAGGTTGACAGTCAATGCCATGACGCAGCCTCCAGTAATGCGATGAACTTCGTCCGAAGGGGCTGAATCCTATACGCTAACGCGTCCGGCGTCCGCCTCCAAATTTGAGCCACCAGAGATAGAGTGAAGGCCCATCGAGCTCTCTGGGTAGCATGCGAGACATCGCGTGGTATTTACATACCTAGGTGTATGATGATAGCCTTCTGGACGCAGATCCGAGAGAACTGGGGCTTGCAGTGGTGCGAGACGATTGGCACTGTGATTCGCGAAAAGGTGCGCCTGTTCGTTGCGAGATCATCCCAATGGGGACAGAACAAGAACCTTTGGAAGACCATTCAAGAAAAGAACCCCGGGAGAGATGAGAAGACTAGCCGGGCGGCGATGCTGTCAATAGGTCCGGCGCTACGAGGTCAATCATCCACTCGCCCGGAAGGGCGCCTATCAGAATGTTGATCGCGATAATCAGCCATGCACGAGGTTGGGGCGCCGATAAAAGCGTATTCTGCATCTGTCAGATTGCCTGGATACTTAAAGGTGGGAGTCGCTTCGTTCCATCAACGACGAGCACGGCCTTCGTGCTAGTATTACCAATGGCCTTGATGGAGCAGGGTGTGAAGTCGCTCGTTTGTCGCGCAGATCCAGCATTCGACGATTCGAGGATACATCCCTATTCGCTTGCAAATCGCCCAGAATATCCGTCGAGTATAGAGTTTGGACTGCGGTGGCGCGCGGCGCCCAGAGGTGGCGGCGTTGACTTTTCGCCTCGGTATTTGCGAGTTCCGGAGAATATGGATACCAGAGTACGATAGGCGAAGGCAGCGCCGACTCACAGCCTATCAAGCGTGCGTGCGTGCGTGCGCGCGTCCAAGTGAGGGAAACACACGTCGACGAGGATAGCGACAAATGAACAAGTATCCCAGCTACGGCACGGCGGACCCCTGCACCTCGCGATCAGCTATTACATCGTTCAAAGGTCCGCGAAGAGCTCGTCGCATATTCTATGGCACATCGACAGCGAAGGCTGCCCAAGAAAACATATCTGTTCAGACAAGAGTAAAGAACACGGGGAACAGGTCACAAAAAAGACAAAGCTTAAAACAAAGGGTGAGTCCGCCCCGCGCCCGCCGCCACCGGATCGGCATCTCTGGCCAAAAATAGGCAAAACGTTCGGCGGGGGTCCCGGCCGAGTTTCTCCCCCTCTCGCTCGACGCTCCCCGCCGTCGCCGTGTCTCCCGTGCTGTCCCCGCCCAGGTCCCGTCTTCCTCGCCTCGCCCTCAGCCAGCCGACACACTCCTTTTCTCTCTCTCTCTCCTATCTTCCACATCTGCACGACACGAACAAGCGGATCGCTTGCTGGAACCCTATAATCTTGGGACGCAACCGACCGACCCCGCGCCAAAGAAAGAGACGACCCGCGGATAGATTCGCCACCTTAACTTTCGTCACAGCGACCCCGCCGCTTCCACTTCGTTGCTATGATGTGCATACCCAGGACGTTGTTGGGCCTGCTCGTGAGCTGGCTCATGCTCCCGTTAGCGGTTAACGCCTGTACGTCCTTCCGTTTCTCGCTCGCACTCCCACCGGCCTCGTGTGCCCGCGCGACGGCCGCGCATAGCGCATATAGACACGCACATGGGCTTGGGCGGCCCATCAGGTATCGATGGCAGCGCATATATGCTGACCACGACGACGATTGGCCCACAGACTGGGAGATCACGTATCCGAACTCGACGCAGCCGTGGGTGAACGGGCAGACGAATCACGTCTCGTGGGTGAAGGGCCTATTGGACGGCGTCCACGGGTTCGACATCGAGCTCGCGCGACTGAGCACAGACAGCCTCATCTTCCTCGCGTCCAACGGTACGTCCCCCCCACCCCCTCATCCTCATGCTCGTCCCCAACCCAGCGCCCCATCAACCCACACTGACACCGCCTCACCACCCCAGTCCCGACGAACAAGAACTTCGGGCTGAACGTCTTCCTGCAAGACGTGCCCGCCGCGGACGACTACTTCCTCGTCTTCCTCAACAGCACGCACGGCGTGACCTACGTCGTCTCGGACCGGTTCACGATCCTCGACGCCTCCTCCTCCTCCTCCGCGCTCTCCCCGCTCACGACGGCCGCGACGATCACCATCTCCGGCGGGCCGAACCCGACCGCGCAGTTCGTGACCACCTTCCCCGCGTCGGCCGCGAGCCGGGTCGAGCTCGGCGCCCGGTGGCCGGCGATGGCGCTCGCGGCCGCGACGGCGGCGGGCGCGCTGGCGGGCGCGTGGGCGGTGTTATAAGCACGCTCGCTCGATGCTCACGACGTTCTGGAGAGAGACAGGAGAGGGAGGAGAGAGAGAGAGAGAGAGGAGGCACGAACGGACATATTTGGATTCGGTTCATAGCTATCATAGTACCTTAACGCCCATCCCCCCCCCCTTCATATGTGCTCGAGCGTCTTCGTCCTCCTGGCATTCTTCACGCATCCGAATACGTTGACTATTTATCTCTTTTCTGACTACTGTACCGGCGGTGCGACTTAAACATACCGATGAGGGTTGAGTATCTTCCGATGAGCATGACGATGATCTCCGAATCTCCGTGTTCGTTGTTCTCGGGAGGCCGGCACGCGGTGTCATATCGGACGTCATCGTCAGGGCGCGCGTCCCCTCGTCGATTTGTCGATCGAATTTGAGCGAAAAAATGTGTGCGCGAAATCGACGAGCGGAAGGCGACGCGGCGTCGTCGTTTACATCCTGACTCCTGAGCCTATATATCCTCTGCTCGGGATTATATGCGCCTGCCAAGTGGGCGTTGGACGCTCGGACGACCGGAGGGTCGCAATCGGATATACGGGGGGCGCGGGTGTGAAGCGTTCCCACTGTGACTGAGCGTACCGTCCCGGTCGCGGGCGAATCACCCAGAGACGCATCGCGGCCGCTTGCTGGGGCAAATGCTCAGGGCCGCCCCCTTCCACTTTTACCTGCCTTGCTCCCCAACCACGACGACGGCGACGCAGCGACGAGATGGGACCCTACAGCGCCGGCGTGTTTAACCCGCGCATGCTCGACGCCAGCATCCGGGACATCGTCGCCCGCCTCGGCGACGATCAGAAGGCGGAGGTGCTGCTCTACGCTGCTCGGCTCATGGGCCCGGACAGGTGCGCGTACGCTGGCGTTTCTGGTCCAGTCTAGCTCACGACTAGTTCTCTCTCTCTATCCATGTCCATCTTTCTTGGCTCCAATTTACCGACTCCGACTCTCATGTCGACCTGCGCTGACCGCACACGCACCACGCCTCACCCGTCGCCACTACAAATTCGCCCACCGATAACGCTGCGCTCGACTCTCTCGCACTCTCGCTTTTCTCGCCACTTCCCACTCACTCGCTCGGGACGGGCCGACGCGGGTTGCGGGCACAGCTCTAGATCGCTCGTCGAGAACGCGGTCCAATCCTGCCTCCAGATCCCGGCCCTCTCGCCCACCAACCAGGCCAAGGCCCGGCTCCTGCGCGTCAAGGCCAGGCTCGCCGCAGGCGTGCATCAAGGCGTGCACCAAGGTTCGTCTCCTCTCCCATTTAACAAACATATTTCCATTTTTCCTCCTGCCCGTGTCCGTCCTTCTTTCTGGATTTTTTTTCCTTTCCGTCGTCCATTGTTGTTGCCGTTCCCATCGCTCTTACGCGCGTCGCTTCCGTGCTGCCGTGCCCGTTGCCGTTGGACCTTCCCCCATCGGCTTCCTTGGTCTCTCCCCCTTCCACCGCTACCGTCACCATCATCCACATCTTGTCCGCAACCCCCTCCTTGCCCTGTCGGTAACAGGGCAACGGCCAGCGCTGATTGATCATGGTCACCACAGAGCTCCAGGCCATCCTCGCGCTCGACCCTGATCACCCGGATGCGAAGGCGCTCCTTTTCCGCGGGCGGCCCCAGCCCAATGGCGGCCCTTGCCAGGTACGCGTCCCCCTTCGCCCCTCTCCGCCTCCTTCTCCTTCCTCCTCCGTTCTCCGCACCTTCTTCCCGTCCCCCTTCGCCGTCGTCTAGATCCCCTTCGCTGACGCTCGCCCAGCAGACCCTCCAGTTCCACAGCGGCCCGCGCTTCTCGACCGAAATCTGGCGCGAGATCCTCTCCCACCTCCCCCGGCGCGACCTCAAATCCGTCCTCGCCGTCCAGCACGGCATCTCGCGCATCGCCGGCCGGCTGCTCTTCCGCGAGCTCGACCTCCACTTCGGCGTGCTCCCGCCGCGGTTCGCCCGCCCCGCGTCCGACGAGGACGACAAGGAGAGGAAGGTGGACGAGGTGAGGGAGACGGCCGAGCTCGAACGGTGGCACGCGAAGCGCTGCGCGGACGTGTTGACGCGCGTCATCGTCGACCCCGAGTTCGCGCGCGTGGTGAAGACGCTGCGCATCATCGCGCCTCTGAAGGAGGACAGCATCATGACCTTCCAGACCGGTACGGTCTCTACCTCGCATCTGCGCATACCGATTCGACGGGTGATGGCTGACGCGCGGGGCAGGCATGCTCGCGAACGCGCTCCCGAAGCTCGTCAACCTCCAAAACCTCTGCTGCCAAGCGCGGTACGCCGACATGGTCGCCATCCTCGCCATCCTCCAAGCTTCGACGCCCAAGATCCAAGGCCTCTCGCTCACGTACGTTGCCCCCTCCCCTCTCACTTCCCTCTTCGTTCCACCGACCGGTCTAACCCCGCGCCCCGCAGCCCGATCGACTTCGCCGAAGCGATCCACGCCCCGAACCTGCGGCACCTCACCCAGCTCGCGTACCAGACCACCGACCCGCGCGCGCCGCCGCCCGGCGCGCTCATCGCGCAAAACCGGGACTCGCTCCGCGCCGCGCGCCTGCACGGCCCCTCGTGGTCGATCCCGGGCCCGGCGCTCCCGCTCCTGCCCGACGCGAAGGACGGCGGCGTGGACGCGTACCCGTTCCGGCTCGGCCAGCTGACCTCGCTCCGGTTCGACGGCTTCGCGCGCGACGCGGGCGCGCTCGCCGCCGTGCTCGAGCACGGCCGCGCGCTCGAGACGCTCGCGCTCGAGCTCCACCTCGACTGCGCGCTCTCCGGCGCGTTCCGCAAGGCGGCGGCGCAGGGCGGCCGGGCGGGGGCGCTGCCGCGCCTGCGGCGGTTCGCGTTCGCGGTGACGGCGGTGAGCGGGAACGTGCCCGCGGACCCGGCGCTGTTCCCGGCGCTGTGCGATTTCGTGAGGAACAGGCAGGGGTTGAGGTGGCTGAGGTTGAGGGCGCCGGGGAGCTTGAGCGGGCAGAGGAAGCTGGGGTACGACGCGGCGGTGTGGGGCGTGTTGCCGAGCTTGCCCGGGCTGAGGGGTCTGGGGATGACGATGCCGGAGAGCGTGGCGCCGCAGTTGGCGATGTGGTTGATACCGAGGGGGTTGAGGGCGCTGAGCTTGTGGGATTTCCCGACGGGGGACCCGGTCGGGTTCGTGCAGGTGCGGATTCTCTCTCCCGGCTGCGTTTTGCCCCATCCTTTTTTGCCCGGATCCGAGGGAGCTGAATCGTGTGCTCTCTCTCTCTCTCTCGGAACAGCAATTGAGGGGAGGCGTGCCGCCGACGTTGAAGTTTGTCGAGCTGGACACGGCGCCGTCGGCGATGCTGCCCCGGATCGTGCAAGAGGGCTTCCCGATGGTGAACGTCGTGTGCGCGGGGGACACGTACTGGTCGGTGAAACAGCCCAAGGCGGAGGACGTCCCCGTCGGTGATTCAGCGGACGGTAAAGAGGGGAATGGCCTCGTGCTCGAGCGCTGGTCTGAGCGGCGGGTGCGGTATTACGCGAGGGAGTGGTTGGAGTGGTACGGATGCGAGGACGCGCGATGGCCCGGGTTCGAGGACTTTGACGATGTTTAGGATGCCCGATGCGAAGGTGGGAACACGTGGGTGGGTGACGGCACGGTGCGACGACGACGACGACGCAGAAGGAATTAAGGAAAAAAACGGATCAAAAGACAACGTCTCTGCTTTCGCTTTCGGTACGCGATATCGTAGAATTCTCGCCTTGCTTTCAGGTCGCTTTGTTTGTGTGTGTGTGCTTTCTCTTTGGATATATCATGCACGATACTGCTCCTGATCACGAACCGTGTAACTGTAGCTATAGAACACAAACGGATTGTGTTTCGCGTTCGACGTGTGCGGCGACGATGTATAGTCCCTTGTTCGTTGGCGCCCTGTCGTGGCGCATGAGGGAGGCCTGTGCGTCGGGAACCATAAGCCTCGGCCGTTCATCCTTCCGCTCGGTATCGGTTAGGATTGCTGGGATGGTACGCATCTCGCTCGTCTCGAAATATCAGGCGTTGACTTGAACGAACTGCAGGGGAGCAGATCTTCCTCGTTTCGAATGCAATGTGCCAGGCTGGAGGACCTTTTGGGCACTGGGATATTGATTAGACCCCCGGGGTGTGGCCTGGCTGTCAGAATACGTTCAACTTATAGCCATTGTATCTCGCACGAGGGATGTATGGTACGCATGTTATCACAATTCATCGACTCCTCATAACTTATGCTGAAACAGCTCAAAAGCTCACGAGCTTGGTCCTAGCTAATTACAGCCTCCCGCAACGAACGCGGACACACAGTCTCCAGCTGTGTACCATTTTCAGCACCTAAAACAATATTCACGCACAAAGATAACGTGTCCCTGCTGCTTCTGGTACATACACATCAACTCCGCACCCTCGCTCCTGAACACGGTGCAGGTGACAGCCACGGCCTACTTCTCCGATCCCCCCCCCTCCCGGCGTCCGGCTAAATGGCATTCCATAGCTCACCACTCCGTTTGCGTCCAAGTCCGCGTGCTCTCAGGCTATCATCGGCGTCGTCTGCCACAGGGACGCCACATACCTCAGGTGAACAACCGCATTGAACCACATGCCCTCGATTCTCCCTACACCGGCTCTCCCTTAGCTCTCACGCGTTGCTGTCGTCGTTCAATTTTTGGCACAAGCAACGGAGGCTTTCCGTGGTGATTGATTGATCTTTGTCTCAGTTATATTCGAAGTGGACCCTCAATGCCGTTATCGCCCTGGCCGGACAACGTTGCATGTGCTCGCCCTGTGTGCGGATGAAGGAGAACGTTCCTAGTACTCACGGAATGCCCTCGACAGGTGGTTCGATGACAGAGTCAGTACACACACGGAGGCAGCGGTGGCGACGAAGCCAACACGGGAAGCAACAAAATTCTCCGGATATGCGGTTCATCCGCTGCGAGCGCCAGCGATCATAGCGCTCAGGTGAGCCCCCCCTCCCCTCCGCCTATCTCTTCGTGCGCATATGCGCAGTCGATTACACCCTGAACTATGGTCGGGTACCACCCGAACAGAAGCCTACGTTTTGGAATGCGATTTGCCATACCGCACCCTTACTTCCACACAATGCCCCGTTTCCCGCCCAAGCACGAGAAGCCCAACATTTTGCGCCTCGTGCGGGCGCTGACTCGGTGCTGAGCTGCATTGGAGAATATCTGGCCGCCACCGCTGCTCAGGCTGGCTGTCCATGCAATTACTCAAAGCACTTTCGTACGAACCCCAATCTCGGAGCCTGGGATGACATGGACGTCATAATACCTCGCTCGTTCTCTTTCTGTACGTCTTCCATTTTTATTGTCCCTGAATCACTCTCATATGCACCAGGATCGCTACGCCAAATACTGCGGTGACATCGGAACCAGACGGCTCATCCACGTAGCGAAGCGAGCACTCGTAACGGCTACATTGCATACAACACGAGGAGGGACAGGAAACAGTATAAAGGCCATCGCAAGTCAACGGCAATGCTCCAGAGCCAAAGCAACAACAGTTAACACTCTACCAGCCCGCGCAGTTCACCAACAATCTCGTACGCCTTCGCCATACCCAATACTCGTCGTTACTGACCCCGAGATTGCATAGAACAATGTTACGCTCCATCGTCACTCTTGCCGTCGCCGTTGTCGCCCTCGCCGGCTTCTCCATCGCAGCCCCTCAGGAGTGCGACCCGCTCACAGACCCGTCCTGCCCCCTGTCCTGCATCGGAGAGGGTAAGCTCTGCACCACCATGGGAACGGCCACTTGCTGCCCCGGCACTATCTGCCAGACCATCCTGCCGGAGATGATCGGCGATGTTGATATTGGCGTACGTTTGCTTGATATCTCGTCAGGTCCCCGTCGCTGACTGTCACTGTCTTCTAACTTAGTTCTGCGCCTCGGCTTGATGCTCGAGCGGTGTCCGACTTCGGATTGTTCTGTCTCTTATTTCGGGATGTCGGAAGGAGAAAGAAAGGGGGTAGTGAATGATCCTTTGGAGCATATAGTGCGACTTGTACGCAGCGGAAACTGGAATTCTTGCTTAACTGATATATCATCGTTTACAAGAACTGAGTGATAAACGACGGGGCGATGTATAAAAGGTTACGAATCTCGTGGTGCAACGTCAAATACACTGACCAAAACCAAGACACGGCACGACACTAAACGTGCCCAACCCCCATGGCGAATATGAATGTCCCGAAGAACGCGAGTGTGCCAAAGTTGCAGGACAAAATCACCTGGATAAATACGAATCAGGAGCAGCGCGTGCCAGGGTTGAAAAAGAGACTGGTCTGCCTGAGCTCCCAAATGAGGGCAGATACGGAAGGATGAGGAACAATGTTTGACTGAACGTCCGATTCAAGACGGTTACACGTGACAGACGTGTATGAGATGGTAAGAACTCACCAAAAAAGCCTCATACGAGCAAATCATCGCAAGAATTGTGAAACTATACATTACTCCATCGGAGCATGTCCATATCATTGATATACGCACCCGACCCGTCGCACATCTCTATCTGCAGAATATTTTCATATCTTTGGAGAAGCCTAAAAGTCGCCCAGAGTAATTAAAATCTTTAAATAAGACATAGAAGTGTTGCAAAATAGTCTACATGGCGTTAGATGGGGTGCAGCGAGCGCCTGCACCGAGTTGTGAGGCACACGGCGTTTCGAGGATAGAGAAGCGGGGATGCCGACCGATTGAGTAGGCCTATGGCCAGACTCAAAGGGTGAGAAATAACAAGGTGAAAAAGATGGTTCGAGGGTCGTCCGAGGCCGGAGAAGCACATGAGACACAAAAAAGCAGGATGAGGCGGGGAGCGAAGGAGCGATTACCGCAAAAGGGAATTCACACGCCCAAAGAGGGAACGTGGCGGTGTGGCTCTCGGTCCGCATGGGCCAAGGTTAAGGCCAAATATCCGCTCCAGATCCAACTTTGGGAGGGCGTCGACTTGCTGTCCCTCCGATACGGGTACGACGCGGACGACGAGGCTGGACGGTGGATTGATGGACCGGACGATGAGTACGTGCACGAGGAGGAGAACGGCATCACGCACCTCAAGCGCCCGGATCACTTTCCCCCGATCCATGAACACATCTTGCCGTTCCGTTGCCCTTCAGACGTCGGGCTCAACATCCTTTCTTACCTTGACGGTCCTTCCCTCCCCGCACTCCAGCTCGTCTCCCGCGCCTGGCGTGACACCATGTGCTGCCGACTTGCTCAACGCTGCCTCTGGTACCCCCTTGCCAGGCAGTATCGCTTCACGCCGACGGACACCGATTGGACGCGCAGTGCGGAGGCGGTGCGGCAGACGCGCTCATCGCCCGCGCGAAGGTCCGTAGTGGACTGGCGCAGGCACTACAAGGACTGCTGGAACAGTCTCAACATGCGCAACCGAACTCGTATCTTCCGGGCCGTGTGGAATATCAGCCATCGCCTTGGCCATTGCGGATGCAAGGAGGGCTCTCCGACCTGTCGACCCTAAAGGGGGCTTTGTATCGGGTTCTTAAACTGCTGTCGTGGGTCGCATTCGACGCTCCAACGGCACGTAAATCTACATTATCTCGATTGTTGACGACCCTGCAATATGCAGCATGCATGCGCAGGAGCCCTCAGCCTCGGCGCGAATTGATATTGGTGCAGGCTCGCGTACTATGTAGCCTTTTTTAACCTCCATCATTAATCAATATCTACTCTGTTTCCGAGCCTGTCGGACCAGGATATTGTCCTACAATAAGAATATAATATCGCCGTCCGAGCCAGAGCATCCGGGAAGTTCCGTACGATTCGTTGGCAGGATGCTTGTGAGAAGAATCACATGATCGTTGACAAATTTCCCGTCTTCATCCGCGCCCCGACTCGCATGCTTCAACCTCCTCCTACAGCAGCCTAGCCGGCCCTTGTACACTGTGACCACTTAGGCAATATTGTGCTGTGAGTCTGCGTTCCTCACGGACCCGAGTGATGATTCATATCGACCTTTACCACATTCCGACCTTTCATGGGGACGACCTTATTGATTTCAGCCTTGGCTGACTACCTCAACCCTTCGCACTTTCGCACTTTTCACGTTATTTGCTAACGCCTTCGCATCCTTCTCTAGGATGTACGCCGCGCCGAAATGTAACGGAAAACTACGTGGTGAGTATCTTATCGCGTGTTCAGCCTCCTTTTCCCCTACTTCCGCGATGAAAAAACTATCGATGGGCGGACAGAATAGCGCTCAGTCTACACCAAACTCTCCCGGTGTACAAATGTGGAGGGGGGCTTGAGTGCTTGTTGATTTCATCGAATACCTGATTTTGTTTCACGTTGCTCTTTCCCACTCGTTATGTTCCTATACTGACCACATGTTTCCCCTAGATACATGTCTTATCCTACACGATGGCACCTTTCCCGCTGGCGCCCACTTTGTGACCGACTCATCTTCGGTCAGCTTAATTTCATCATTATACCCCTGGTATTCACTCTTCGTGCGAGACTCGACCGCGCGGAGAGTTGCTAATGCAGGGGGATACGAAACGGGTTCATCTCAACACTCCATATCATGCTCTGATGACAGGCGATTTATTCGGTTGGACTGCGATGCTGTTACGCTGGTCTGACCTTACGGTTCGCCTCACATCCCAATCTGGATCCCCTACGTAATGTTATGGTAGTAAGTGTTGTTATCATGTTAGTTTTGACAATGCATGTTCTTCTCGATTTTCGCATTGGGCGATATGACCTTTGCGCGTGTCGGGCGCATCGTCGTGAACTCTGAGTTGATATGCCTTCCTCGTACGACTCTATCAGGCACCCGTTGGTACTGTCTGTTGCCCGAGGTTGTCCTTGAGTTCGAAGTAACACGGAACTGTATATGCATCAGCCAGCCGAGTACCCGACGCTCGGTACTTCGACCATAAAACCTGGACAGCAGAAAGCAGTATCTGTCGTGTCATGTAGATGACGGTTCCGGAGAATTGTCGAGATACGGTTGCTGGAGGAGCGCGGCGAACGCGAGCTCTGATCAGCGCACTTGAGACTTCTCGCTCCGGTCCTCCACGACGTCGCCACCATGGACACCGTCAACAAAGCGTTAGCCAGCTTGACTGGCAATGAGATCGCCCTTTCGCTCGCTGTTGTCCTGTTGGTCGCGATTGCTCGGTCGTCCGCGAAGCGCAACGATGGTCCGCCCCTAGTTCCCTACCTTGTGCCATGGGTCGGTTCAGCAGTCACGATGGGGAAGGACCCAGACGCCTTCTTTACGATGGCAAAGTGAGTTGACCGCGGTCCACTGTGGAATGGACCACTGAATGTCGGCTATGCAGGGAGAAGTTCGGCGCCATGTTCGCAGTCAAGTCCATAGGCCAAAAGCTGACCTACGTTACGGACCCTGCGCTCATTTCAGCCGTATACCGAGACCCGAAGGTGAGTCACATCATTTGCTCTTAGGTCCTCTAAATGCGCCGTCATCTTGACTATATGCGCATATAGTCCTTCGAATTCACCCCCATTCGCTTGGACATCTCCCAGAAGATATTCGCTCTCTCGCACGGCGTGTGCAACGACGGATGGATGACGGGCGACTACTTCTCAATGCACCACCGGGCTCTGTCTCCAAGCGGCATCCAACCCCTCTTAGCGTCCTACACCACACACGCTATATCATGCATATCTGAAGCATTGTCCGCATTACCCCCATCCACCTCCGCCGGCTCATCCCCCTCCTGCAAGACATCCCTGGCCCCTCTCATCGTGCCGCCTGCTTTCTACTCCGCCGCCCACACCTTCTTCGGCGCGTCCTTCCCCGCGAAAGACGTTTACGGCGACTTTCGCACGTTCGACGGCTCGTTCCACCTCATGCTCGCCGGCGCCCCCAAATGGCTCGTCTCGGCGCCGCACGACGCGTACGCGCGTATCCTGGATAAAGTCGAGCGCTTCCTTGACGGCCCGCACGAGGACGTGTGTCAACTGATGCACGACACGGAGATCGGCGCGAGGGCGCAAGGATGGGTACGTCTTGGCGGTATCCTCCGCTTTCGTTAGAACCAACGCGTTTTTTGGGCAGGGCAAACGTGACATCGCTGCGGCCTTCGCATCCGACCTTTGGGCGCTCGAGGCGAACGCGATCTGGGCCGTATATTGGGTCATCGCGCTATGCCTTCAGCAGTCTCACGGGCTCGAGCCGCTCGTGAAAGAGCTTCAGGAGGCCCGCGCTGCGTGGTCCGCCGCAAACCCTTCCTCACCCTTTCCCTCCGACCTCTTGGATCCAAGCGCTGCGGTCACCATAACCTCGTTCATCGCGACGTCTTCACTCCCTCTTCTTACCTCCTCCATATACGAAGCGTTGCGCTACGCCACGTCATCGTTCTCCATCCGCCGTGTCACGCGTGACCTCGTGTTCCCCACCAATCCCGAAGCGTTCGGCTTGGAGCGCTCGTACTCGTTTACGGAGGGCGAGAGGATTGTGTGCGCCACGCGGGCGGTGCACCAAGACAAGGGAATTCACGACGATGCGGAGGAGTTCAAGTTCGACAGATACGCGGGGTGCAAGATGAACGAGGGCAAGATGGGAAGAAGCCAGTTTTTGCCGTTCGGAGGAGGTGTGTCGATGTGCGAGGGCAGGTGCGCGGTGTCCATCTCCTCGTCAAAGCATGGCTTGTTGTTGACGCTCTTTTCAGGCACTTCGCGTTGGGAGAGATCAAGACGTACCTTACGATATTGCTGTTATCGGCTACGTTTGAGGTCGATTCTGGTTCGTCCGCAAGACCCGTCCTCTTGAAAGAGCGAATCGGGGTGGGAATCATGCCTCCGAAGGGCGACCTCGATGTCATCGTCCGACGGAGGGAAAACTGAAACACAATCACGTCTGCGTGCTATCCTTGCTATCGCGAGCATACCCCGCGCTTTTTGGGCCCACGGATACGTGACCTTAGTGGTTAAAGACTCACCTCAAGGCAGTCGAAAGGCTCGCACGACGTTTGTTACGTATCCATACTTCATGGTTTCGTGGACCATCCCGCCACTATCCCCATTGACCGACTTCTTTATGTGCTGGACAGGTGTTGTTTTACTCATCGGAACGTTGAACGTGCGATGTTGTTCTGATTGAATAGATTGTATGGATCATTCAGAGGGCGGACAGCCTACGTCGACTTCTCTGTTGCCCTTGGAACGCTCCACGTTCTCCACCAAAACTCACAAACCCACAATCGTCAACCTCGACTGCATGAGCCTCGATGTAAGTCAAGTTTGTGAACACTGACGAGGGACAGGACTACGATAGATTCGACAGTTTGTGTTGCGAGATTAGCTCTCGAACAATGCATCCTCGATGTCGACACGTCGTTACCAGCCCTACGGGCGGGCCTTCAATCGTCTCCCGAGGACAAACAAGCCAGGCTGAGCTAGCAAAAACATCACTCGTTCATCACGACCTTCACGGGTCCCCCGCGGCCGACAGTCTTGAGGAAGTAGTGAGACTAGGAAGCGAAGTAATGGCTCCTGCGGACGACACTTCGATTAGCGTGATCTCGATCACGATCCGTGATTGTGTTGGTTTCGCTTTGTTTCGATGATTCAAACAGAGCAGCACGCTACGGGACCTTGATGAAGCGATTGCAGTTCATAGGAGTGCTCTCGCGTACCGGGTATCTGCATGTCTTGCATATTGGCCTTCTTTGCATGGCATCAGGCAAGCGCTGCTTTGGTGTCATCTTCATCGAGGCGACAGGCAAGCACTGGAAGAGGTTATCACGTCCCTGCGTCAGGCAATCCGCGAAGATGCCTTGTCAATCACCGATCGTGCTCCGTCAAGTGGTGTCAGGCGATTTTTTTATTGCACCAATTTGACATCGATTAGCAGCTCGATGTTGCTTATGAGGGTGTGGAATGGGCACGCACGGAAGGCCCGAGAATGGACTCTGCCCTCCCATGTGGAATTGAAGCCAACGTCCTCCTAGTAGCTCCGCCAGGGGTTCCTGGCATGGCTCCAGTGCCTATAGCAACCGTATAGGTGGTTCAGCTTTCCCGGATGCTTCCTCAGGAGAAAACAACCGTCCTGGAACATCGAGATGCATTGCCGTATCCGGACCACGGTCAAGACACAATGCTCAGTTACGTGCAACGTGCTCTGCCGCACTTGACCATTCTGCACCTTGCTTGCCATGCCGCGCAGCACAAGAGAAATCCTATTGAAAGCGGTTTCTATCTCCCTGACGAGACCGTGCATCTAGCTGCGGCGATGTTGTTCACCGGCTTTCGCAGCGTCGTCGGCACCATGTGGTGTGTTTGAAAACGACGCCTTCTATACGCTATATCGTTCTGACCTTTTCATAGGCAAATGCTCGACGCCCACGGCCCGGAAGAATCGAAGCAGGTCTACGGACCATTGTTCGGGATCCGATAGGTTACCGCCAGTTACCGCCAGAAAGTGTTCCAATCGTTTTTGACTTTGCTCCCCGTCATCTCCGTAACGGCGGAGCATCTCCAGACCGCTCGGTGACATATGTACACATTGGCGTCTGAATGCCGGGTACTTTTTGATTTGTAGTGTACCTATACGATGAAGTCATCGATCTTCGATAGGCTGTTGAACGGCATGTGACCTTCACCTACCAACTTACTCGCGACTGCATCCCCAAGTCTCGTAAGAACCATCTTGCGGTTGGGTAGTGTACGAACTTGTGCATTACCGTGTGGACGATGACAAATAAACGATATAAGCGCTCAATCGTGAGAATAATTATTCTTTTCTGTATCCGAGCGCTGAGCGCTGGATCCTTGCCACTGCCAGGGACGACCACCTCCATCGTTTTCGGAACCGGTCGCGCCTCTATGACTGCATTCAGATTTCAACACGCATCCGCCCTGTCGCCAAATTTGCTTGCCCGCCGTTTCACTCGATGATGTCGCACAACATTGCGTGCTTTCCCGAAAGGGCAGCATCCGCCGTCCTTTAGCGCTCCGAGACCGCTCCCGAGCCTGATACACGCAGAAAAGTGCCACTGGAGGTGGCGCTCACGTATTTTACCGCGCGGTGCATGGCGCGCAGAGCGGCCAAAGAATCGCCGGGATGAACCTCGTCCGCGACAAACAATGGCTGGATCGGAGCGGATACGATCGACCTTGGATGGTTTCGCCTCAGCAGGCGTTTCCGTCGACTCCAACTGCAGGCTTCTAGAGCCCTTGCGGGTACGACGTAGAGGTGGAAAAACTCAACGGGGGAGCGGGACAGTGGATGGGGAGGGTATAAAACTGTGATCGTTGGATGGCAGGAGACACCCCAGAAGCACCTCAAGTCATTTACCAGTCTCGACGCAGCAATCAGTTCGACATGTTCTCTTCCGCGTTCTCCGCCTTCGTCGTTCTCGCTATGGCGAGTTCCGTCCTTGGCGCTCCTCAGGCGGTTGGTGAGTATATGCGCTTCTTTCAAGCACGCTATTTCATCTGACTACATCACCAGCTTCCTCCAGCGATGTCGTCACGAGCGCGAGCTTAGACTCTGTGTCTAACACGGTTACCCCGGCAGCGACCCCGGCATCAGCCACGAAAAGTCACTTCGCGTTCCCTACGGACGGGCCGATCGCCAGTCTGGAGCAGAAGTTTTCGAGTTTGCTGAGCAGATTCCCGATACCGACGTCGGGCGCTGAGCTTCAAGCCGAAATTTCCAGCTTCCTTGCCGAGATTCCGCGACCCACCTCCGGCTCGGGCTTTGGTATGCTGAGATCTTCGACATGATTTGTCTGGACGCGCTAACACATCCGTCGTAGATTCGAGCAGCTCTGTCGCGAGCTCCACCCTTGACTCAGCATCCACTTCTGCTACGGAGAGTTCCTCCGGCCTCTCACGTCGCGGCTTGTTCAAGCCCAACTTCTACGCGACGACCACCACCGTTCCATTGACGATCACCCACACCGCTACCGTTACCGACGTTGTTGGCACCGTCACCGTCACTGCGACTGTGACGGACGCCTCCCGCCGCCGCATCACCCCGCTGCGTCCGCTCTTCCAGGGCACGCTCACCGTGACTGACAAAGTGTTTGTCACCGCGACCGCAACTACCAGCCTGACCGAAACCGTCACCGATACTGTCACCGTCTCCGCTACAGGATCGGCCACGGATGCATCTACTTCTGCTACCGCATCCGTCGACGACCTAGATTAAGTGTTCACACGCACATAGACCCGTTCGTGATGTAGCCCAGCCGTCGAAATGATGTAGAAGATTGCAGACCGTATAGTCATAGTGTACGATATGAACAGAAACGGCTTATGGAAATACTCTTGTACTGTAGCTCCGTTTCCATATTGTTTGATGATTCTGACGCGATACTTAACCTTGAGTATGTTAACCCATCCGCGAAGTCCTCGTCAATCGGCGGCGAAGAATCGCGGCATTTGGTGGCTATGCTCAGTGTGCGCACGTGATTTGCTTACATAACGCCATGGTCGCTTCAAAAAGCGTGATGTGGCCGTGATCTCCACGAGACCTACCTCTCCCCTCCCCGTGACTCCCCCGCGCGACTTCCCCTGCCCCTGCGCGCCTTGCTCAGATAATACAATTTCCGATTCACATCACCAGCATAGATAATCTATCGACAGCTCGCTTTGCACAATGTCTACCAGCGCGCCAACGACGGACCCTGCATTGAACGGCGCCCAGCTGACTCCAAGCGCTGTACCCAATGGTGCCGTGCCCACCATGCCCGTCATGGACCAGACCCACCTCATGGAGCTCATCAAGTCAATACCTGGTGTCCTCAACAAGGTGAGCTGCTTGCCATTCTCCCATTCCCGACGGCGACGCGCCCACCCCCCCCGGCCCGGATCTGAAACAGGAAAAACGGCTGATCGAATCAACGTTCTTCCCCAGCTTTCGGAAAAGGGCAACATCGAAGAAGCCGCGGCGACCCTCCGCGACCTGTCGCAGCAGCCGTACCCGGGCGCGGCGCCGGTGCAGCCGCCGCTGGGTCACTACCAGCTCCCGCAGGGGTTCCCGCACATGACCGAGGCCGGGCCCTCGTCGCACCCGAATGGGCCGCCGAACCTCGGCCAGGTCCCCGGGCCTGCGCCCCCTATGCAGCCTATGCAGCCCGAGGAGCAGGGCAGCGAAGGCGAGGATGGCGAGCGCGGCGGAAGCCAGTCACCGTCGCGCGGGGGCTCGCAGCAGCCCGGCGGCTCGGGGAAGAGCCGCTCGCGGAGCGGGCGAAGCGCGAACATGTCGAACGACGAGTGGGCGAGGCAGCGCAAAGATAACCACGTTAGTGATCCCTTATCCTTCCGAGGTACCGAGACAGTATACTGACGGGGTACTTGTTATCGCAGAAAGAGGTCGAGCGCCGACGCAGGGGCAATATCAACGACGGCATCAACGAGCTTGGCCGGATCGTGCCGAATGGGACGGGCGAGAAGGCGAAGGGCGCGATCCTATCGCGCGCGGTGCAGTACATTCACCATCTGAAGGAGAACGAGGCGCGGAACATCGAGAAGTGGACGCTCGAGAAGCTGCTCATGGACCAGGCGATGGGCGACCTTCAGGCGCAGCTGGAGGAAGTGAGGAGAGCGTGGGAGGAGGAGCGGCATGCGCGCCAGCGACTTGAGACGGAGCTCGAGGTGCTCCGAGGGATGACGGCGGGCCAGCAGCAGCATGCGGCGGCGGGGTTGGTGGCGGCAGTGGCGCAGCAGCAGCAACAACAACAGCAGCAGCAGCATCAGCAGCAGGCGGCTGTGGTGAACGATGCGAACCCGAAGGAGGAAGGCGACACCGCCAAGAGGAGGCGGGAGGACGATCCTGAGGGCGTTGACGGCGGCGAAAAGCGACCGAGAGTGGAATGAGTTCTGCAAGTCGGCTTTGTGCTTGATCGTGTTGTGGGTTTCCCGGGATTGGACGTTTTTCGTGTTGTCGAACAAGATGTGTATCATAACTAATTCGTACGCGTCGATTCCCAGTCTAGTAGTGTATAACAGCGATGCATTTTTTGGCCCAGTTTCTTCGCACTGTGTGGTCGTGGTCGAGTGTGAGGTGCGGGATCAATGCATATGTCACGCACGACTTGCACAAAGGCGGCAGGTGCCGACAGGAGAGGGCGTCCCCTTTCGGAAAGATAATTAGGGGCAAGTGCTGTCGGTGATGGCTTTCCGTCGCTGATCGTTGACCTGGTATGGACGGTCGGATAGGATCGCCACCATCATAATAGACAGCGAGAATCAGGATCGACGTTCATCGCGTTGACGCCAACATGTCTCGTTGTCAGGACGGGACGAGCGGTCGCGAGCGCCGAAGCCAACAACATCATTGTTCGGTAACCCTCGCGCCAATTACCAGGGGTTTTGGCGTTACGTGCCCTAATCAGCGACATACGGTGGATACCAGAATGATGATGTTAGTGCCCTTGCTGGCGCAAGTTGGCGCACAACGCGACGATCTTTTACGTGCCTGCGGTAACCTCGCACCCGATGGCCTGACTCCCGTCGATAGTGCATATTATCGTTGTAATGACAACCGTTTGGTTGACATCGCAAGGTACACCGTACTCAGGTACCTCAACACGTGTGTCCAGGGAGCGTCCGTCCGTGACAAATGAGATCGCCAGAAGCGCGGAGGGACCTCAACATGGAGTGTTGACCGAGACAGGGGCATTGCTGTCGGTGCGCCATGTAGCAATTTAAGGAGTGCAGGTATGACGCGGGGAGGAGCGGGGTGTCGGATCAATAGCGTATACATATGAGCTAGGGCTTCTCAACAGGGGGCTCGGGGTTCTTCAACGGAGTGCGGATGCAACGACGCGACAGGAGTCTGCCCAACTAAGGTCATCAGCTATTGGAATGCTGAACGACGCGGTCCCTGAGGTGGTTAAATTTCCCCTCCGCCACACTGATTACGTCGGCGTCGCGGTGGGTTGGCACGCCATCGATAAGCACCGATATGCTTGGTAGAGCAATCCCGTATGAGGCATAATCGCGCAGCTGACGCGGGGTCCAGTCCGGTAGTCAAATTCGGATTCCAAGAATACATGCAGAGTCGTTTTGGCGGAGAATTATACCCTGAGGATGATGATGCGGGTTGGCAGAAGGCGAGAGAAAAATCATTCCGATTGCGCCATGAACCTTGGTACTGTGGTGACCTTCTTGCGCGATAACGCTGCGCATAACGCCGTCCGTCCGTCTCTAGAACATGACGCTGTTCGAGCTCGGAACTCCTTCGGATCCTATACTTTCCATCAGTGGTATCATCGTAGCGCGGCATCGCGGCAAGACAGTCAAAAATAAGACACCATCCATACTTACCGTTTCCCGTTCCTACTTACGGCATCTCTGAGGACCGGATGGTGCCACGTCATGGGCCTGAAGAGCACACATGGCGGCGTGGTCCTGTGAACCCCGAGCCCAGTCTTGGGCGCACCCTGGCTACATGCGAGTTAGTATGAACATGGAAGCATGGGCGATATTGCGGGCGTGCCCTGAGCCGTGCTCTGCGCGAGAACCCGCCATATCGCTGGCTGCTCGCTGAAGGGAGTCGTGATGTAAACGGCGTGAGCACCGAACTTTGAGGTGCCTGCGCTCGCTGTCTACGTAGCCCAAGTTAGGGTCTACCACGGTCCGCGTGAACCCGGGTGAACTGCAGGTAAGTACCTGCGGTTTGGGCACGGGTCGGATACAACGGGTACGGATAGACCTGCAGTACGGGACCGGGTAGGTACAGTATAGTAGCTCGGAATGACTATACTACCCGGGTACAACCGTGGTTAACTGTGGCTGAGTGACCGAGTGACCAACCTGTGCGCCGTTTCGTCTGGCATTTGCCAACGCACTGCGACAATCCCACTCAGGGACAGTCGATTGCGGGCGCTCCACCCCTCCCCCGTCGCCTCTTGCTCACCATGCGGGTCTGCATGTGCACTGCGAGTGTTATCTGGCAACAAGGCCAGGAACTGGCATGGGCCCCGTCTATCAGCCGGCAACAAGACCAGGAACTAGCGGCACCCTCGTCCTGAACATCCGGCCGAATGCGCCGTTCTGGTGAGCACAACACAAAATTGTCCCATTGCTGCGTTTACGACGCTCATTGGCTCGAGGACGTTCAGCAGCCCAAAGATATGGACGCTGCTTCCCATTGGATCGGCCATCGAACGATTGGATATAAAAGCAGCTTACAACGTACTCGATCCAGAGACGTGCGCGCAATGTCATCCGTCCCACCTCCCGACTCCCCTTCCAAACGGACCCGGTCGCAGACAGGGCCATCACAGGCCCCCGTCGCTCGGCCTCCATCGCCTGTTCGTCGGCGCAAGAGACGTCGTAATGACACCTCGTCCGACGACTTGATGTCCATGACGGATGTCTAAGCCTGGGACAAACCTGACAGCGAGATCCTGGGTACGTCATGCACCCAATCATTATGTTCCCTGTTGCTGACCTATGGGTAGCTGCCGTCTCACAATCCTGGGTATCGCCGGCCTATGATCACTTCACCACCAGTGTCGAGCGTGTGCATGATGTACACTACAAGCCCTCACATATCAATATCGTCTTCACCTGCAAGACTCATCCAGACACGCATGGGGCCCATAGGCGGGAACGCACGAAGAACTCGGAAGGTATGATTCAATATTGTAAACCCTGGTGCTGTTTGCTCAAAACTGTCAAGGCACCACCAATCTCACGAAGGGGATCGCGAAATGCAATAAGCAACATGGACTGGCGAAGGACTCTCATCCCCAGCAGCAAACACTGCACGATGCAGTGTCTGCGTATTCTCCCTTACGGCATCGTGCACTCATTGCACTTCGCTGCGCCAGCAGCCATCGTTCCTTCAACTCCGTCCTCGACGCCGACTACCGAGCCAAGGTCGAGATGCTGCGCCCCGGCACAGTTCTGCCATCGCCGCTCACGATTTTGCGGGACACTGTGGCTATCTACGAGGAAGGGGCACGGCATATCAAGACCATATTGACCAAGGTATGACAGACGCTTGCATATCAGCACATGATAGTACTCAAATGTTTTGTATAGGAGGGAATGAATCGTATTCACTTGGTTGTTGATGGGTGGACGGCACCATTTTTTGGCACGTCGTGGCTTGGTATTGTCGCCGTCTGGTGGGACCAAGAATGCAAGAAGATCCGCCGCGTGATTCTGGAGTTTGCTCGGTAGGAATTCGTTCTTTTTGCTTCCAGTTAAATGCTGATCCTTGCATCAGCCTCACGTCAGCACATACCGGCGAGTATCTTTCCGGGGTACTTGTCGAGTGCCTTGACCGTTATGGGCTTAAGGACCGTGTATGTACTTTGACTTGACTATGAGCTGGTCTGTGATGCTCATACTTCTGACAGCTTCTTTCTGTTTGCCTCGACAATGCCGGAAACAACGACAAGATGGTCATCCAGATGGGGCAGGACATCGCAACATTCAAGGGAATGGCCTGGCGTGGTAGATGTGCACCGCATACCATAAACCTTGTCGCAAAGGTGCGTCCTTTCATCATCCACATGAATGTTACTGATCATCCGTTAGGCCATGATTGGATTCTTTTTTTCACGACCGAAGCCAGCAAAGAAGGTCACGGTTCGGTCGGGCAATGCAAGACGTAGCCGCCAGTCTGGTGGCATGCTTCCAGCAGAACCTGTAGTAGAAGAGGTCATCGTCGAGGATGGCGAGGATGTAAATGAAGTTGACCTTGCGGCTGACGATCCGGATGCATCCAATCCAGGAGGCAATGATCCAAGCAAAGCTGCGCATGATGCACAGGTTGTTCGTAGTGTTCACGAACAGGCCATCCGTGACTGCTCGATACTGTACGGCATCGATCTCACTCCAGAGACCAGAAAGGAGGCCTTAGGCGTCTTCCCAAAGGTGTGTCCAATATCCTACGGATCCATTGGCAGCGGCTAATGTAATGTTTCCAAAAGGTTGCAGGTCTTGCACGTCGCGTTCACGATTCGGCGACTCTCTTCGAGAAGTTCAACCGGCTTGTAGCCGCTGATCCAGCCATGTTGGGCCAGAAGCGTACGTTGGACCGCCGTGTTGCGACGCGCTGGAACTCTGAGCTCGCCTGCCTGTCCGCCCACATCCACTTCAAGAAGCAAGTCAAGCAGCTGACGAATGATGATGAGAATGCACTTGATGCATATGCTCTCTCGCCCTCGCAATGGAAGCTTGCTGAAGATCTTGTCAGTGTTCTGGAGGTATGGTCTCACACCTCATCTCTACGATTTGAGGCTTATCAGATCCAGATATTCGATACACCAACCAAGTTGTTCTCCAAAAATGAGGTTCCGCTCATTTGCGAGACAATCCCGATGCTTGAAACGTTCGAGGCTCAACTGGTGGCCGTTTGTGATCAGAAACATGCACAGCTTCCTCCGATCATCCGGGTTGCGGCGCAAGCTTCTCTTCTCGTGGTGGGCAAGTACTACGCCCTCAGTGATGATAACGAGATCTACCGTATTGCAATGGGTATGTCAGTCTGCCTGCACTACTTTGGAATCTGACCAATGTCTATGTTTAGTTCTCTGCCCATGGAGGAAGCTGCAATGGTTTGCTGTTCGCCAGTGGTCTGCTGAAGATATCAGCACAGTCAAGGCCATCACGATACGCACCTTCAGAGAGATCTATGCGGGCGACTCGAACAACACCGAAGCTGTTGGTGCCAGCTCAACGGCTATTGCCGCACCGCTCAAACGCCAGGTGAGTGTCCAAGTATACACCCGATCCTTCGTCTGACAGTTTGCAGAGCTCTATATGGGCATCGAATCCCCATCCTGAGCCAGCTAATGCACGCTCTATGGTCCAAGCCGATACCATCGAGAGCTATCTCGATGCTGCCCTAATTCCCGAAGACATCATTCAAGCCTCTGGTGGTCTCCTCTCATATTGGAGTAACCAGATCACCAAGTTCCCTCGCCTCGCCAGATTTGCATTGGACTTCTGTTCCGCACCTGGTACGTTGACCATTACCTTATGTGCTCTGCATGCCATCAACTCATTTGCGATCTTCAGCTTCGTCAGTGGACGGTGAGCGTGCATTCTCCGACGCACGCCTTCAAGTCAACTACACGCAACATAACATTGCGCCCCGCACTTTCAGGGCCAAGATGGCCGTCGGCTCATGGCGGAAGGAAGGCTTACTCGATAACGTAGATGATGTGGCATCCATGCTTCGCCATGGAAAGAATGGAAAACGTGTCGCAGTGGGGGTATCTGATGCAACAACTGCTAACGCGGCGATTGATATTGACTCTGACTAGTATACATAGTAGTACCCGGGTAATACCGCAACCCGTACTTGTACCTGACCCGTACCCGCTGTAACATACCCGGGTGGGTACAATCCTGGCCTCTGAATTGCAAAGTACCTGCAGCCGGGTCCCGGGTACATCCGGGTGTACCCATGTTAGACCCTAGCCCAAGTTGCTTCAACAAGGCGATTCGCACAGACGTCATTGGCGCGAAAGGGCGGCTTGGGGTTACCTTCGTGAGAGCAGCAATGCGATGGCGCTAAGAAGAATATGGAGCGCAGAATGAGAACCGGAGCTCGAACATCAGCTTCGTTCGTGCGATCAGAAATCAGGATGATCGCACTGCAGATCAAAGACTGCCTGATAGCCTTGAGAGAAGACAATGGGGTTCAAGGGACGAGGCACGGCGCTTGAGGCGATGTCGCTTCGCGAGAGAGAGAGGGACGACAATCGTCAACGTCGGTGCCGTTATCGCGTCGCGCGCAACGACACCGGCCCATTGAGACGAGGCGAGAGGTTATTCTGGGAGAACGATAAGGACCGACAGCCATGCGATCCATCATTAAGTTGGACGCGCCACCGAACGGCCCCATCGAGATCGCCGGAAGTTCGCCGGGAGGTGTGATCGGGATTTTGCATGCGGAGAGAATTGCAGCGTGCCTGGCCGGCTAATGAGTTGCTCGTGTGCCGGGGCAAACTGTGGCGGCCAGAACGCGCCGTCAGATTCACCAGTGCCCTTACAGCCCGTCTCCAGACGCGTTACCGTCCTCCAAACGTTATGTATGGAATATACTGCACTCCGAGACAGGAGAAGGTGACAGGCGTTATGGATCGTCACAGTAACGTCACAAGTCACCGACTTCGCGACTTGCTCAACGCCTTTGCAAAGTCGCAACAAGCTGGAGGGACGACGAGCTTGGACTGTTACTGATCGTCATAGGTAACGAGGCTCACACCTCGGACTGTCGCACGACCAAAGCTATGATCATCAACCCTTATTGTCGAGAGACTGTTTGACAAGGCCACGTGGGTGGTTGTTACTGCATCTTCCAGGTCGCATCAAGGACCAGAAGCAATGCCTACGGATTCAGATGGAGGTGAGATACGTGCTTGATCGTCGACCGGGCTCATGATCTCCTTTTCCTCGCCTTCGCGACAGAGATATGCGCATACATGCCAGTTGGAGGCGTTTACGAGGGATGTATGCGCCTCGACGCCTTCGCAATTGAGATTTTTTCCGGGTTTACAGCGATCGCAAACCCCGGCCATTTCTCAGGATGTCATACGGAAGGTATGCGTAACCCTCCTGTTTTGGACCGTTTCGCCGGGACGTTGCCACCTCCGTCGCCCGGATCGCACAGACCATGCCGGGTGGTGCCATCCAGAACCATGCTATGCTCATGACACCCTGCTTATCTCTGGTCCCGCTTCCATATGCTCCAATCGCACGCGCCCAATTTGGGCAGTGTATTCTTAGCGCAACCGACGCTAGGGACGCATGGGACAGCGAATATAAGCCCCCTCCCGGACGAGATGCAAGGTCGACCATCTGGCTCCCACCCCCTCCTCCCCCCCTTAGGAAGCTCCACTCGTTCTCGAGTGTTGTAGCAAGCCCGCCATGCCCCTCGGTAACGAAGGAATCTTGGTCCAGGACCAGACCGATCTCAATGAGACGGTGCTGCAGTCTTTCCCCCATGTTCATGTGAACCCCAGCATCAACGACCCCAATCACGTCCTCTCCGACGATAGCGAGAAGGCGCCGTCTTACGACTCGGAGAAGAAGGCCGGTATTCATGACGACGTGCTTACCGGTGTCGACCTCGCCCACGACGAGAGCGGCGCCGTCCTTTACGACGAGAACGGCCACGAGAAGGTCCTGGAGACCGCTTCCGACTTCGCCCTCGCTCTCTGCTCGCTGGAGGATGACCCTTCCCTGCCCATCTACACCTTCCGCATGTGGTTCGCAGGTCTCGGTGAGTATCCTTTCCTCCGTCGCTATCGTCGCTCGGCTTCTAATCTCGGGGACGTATCTCAGGTCTTGCGGTGTTCGGTGCCGTCCTCGGCATGCTCTTCCAGTTCCGCCCTCAGGTCATCTCCGTCTCCGCGCTCTTCCTCCAGCTGCTCGCCTTCATGATCGGCAAGTTCCTCGAGTACGTCATCCCTGGTCCCGGTAGCCGTCTGCACAACGGCAACCGGTTCTGGCGGTTCATGAACCCGGGTCCCTTCAACATCAAGGAGCACGTCGGCGCCCAGATCATGGCCAACACTGCCGCTGGCGCCGCGTCTGCCTGCTTCGTCTTCGCCTCGGACGACCTGTTCTACGGTATCACCGTGAACGCGGGTAACGCCATCTTCACTCTCCTGGGTAGGTCCCACTATCACTGATAACGGGGTGAAAAGAGCTGACGCCATGTGACCGTCAGCTTCGCAATTGATTGGATACGGCTTCGCTGGGTTGTTCCGGTCCATGGTGGGTTTCAGCTCCAAGTATAGCATCAACTCCCGTTCTGACCTTCCATCCGCAGCTCGTCTATCCCACGTCGATGATCTACCCGCAAAACCTGATCTACGTCAATTTGTTCGACGCGTTGCACCGTGGCAAGGGCGAGATGATGCAGAAGAAGCGCCTGAAGGTTTTCTGGCTCATCGTAGCCGGCGTGTTCGTCTACGAGTGGTTCCCCGAATACATCGCACCGCTCCTCGGCTCTTTCAACATCGTCTGCCTCGCCGCTCGCCACTCGGATTGGGTTACTTTCATCTTCGGTGGCGCCAACGGTAACGAGGGCATGGGTCTCCTCGGCTTCGGTGTCGACTGGGCCAAGTACGTCGTTTCCCTCGCTATTGTCGCGATGTGCGATATTGACGTTCTCTTCAGCATCGGCTCGTCGCCCTTCTACCTCCCGCTCGCGACCCAGATCTCGCAGTACGTTGGCTGGGCGATGAACTACTGGGTCCTCCCGACCGTGTACGCCACCGACACCTGGCACGCGAAGAACTTCCCGTTCATCTCGCAGAACCTGTTCTTCGAGAACGGCTCGATCTACGACCAGAACCTGATCCTCAACCCCGACTTCTCGCTCAACCGTACCGCGTTCGAGATCTACGGCCAGCCGTGGCAGTCGCCCTCGTCCGTCATCTACTACCTCGGCATCTCGCTCTCCATCGGCGCGACCATCGTCCACATCGGGCTCTGGCACGGCAAGGAGATCTGGGACAACTTCATGAACACCTTCCGCCGCGCGCCCATCGACGATCTTCACTACCAAAAGATGAAGGTCTACCCCGAAGTTCCGATGTGGTGGTACGGCGGTGTGACCGTCGGCGCGTTCATCATGGCCATGGTCTGCGCGTACACCGAGAAGTCGCACCTGCCGTGGTGGGCGCTCATCGTCGCGCTCGTCTTCTCGATCCTCTGGCTGCCGTTCTACGGCTCGATGAACGCCATCACCGGCTTCACGCCCTACGTCACCCAGCTCTTCCAGATGCTCGGGTCTGCCGTCATCCCCGGCTCGTCCCAGGCGAACATGTACTTCGAGCTGTACTCCGGCACCTCGCTCAACCAGGCCGCGCTCATGCTTTCCGACCTCAAGCTCGGCCAGTACACCAAGATGCCCCCGCGCGCGACGTACATCGTCCAGATGGCGGGTACGATCGTCGGCGGTCTCCTCAACTGTGCGTAACATCTGTGTCGCTGCCGTCCTCTAGAGCATCCCCATCTCATCAACTTTTTTTTTGACTCGACAGACGCGATCATGCAGACCGTCATCAACAACGAGCGCCCCATCCTGCTCTCGAACGAGGGTACCCGCACCTGGTCCGGCCAGCAGGTCCAGTCCTACAACGCCAACGCCGTCCTCTGGGGCGCGCTCGGCAAGGAGATCTACGGCCCGAAGGGCCCGTACTTCGTCGTGCCCCTCGGCATCGTCATCGGCCTCGCGCTGCCCGTCATCCCCTGGCTCGTCTGGCGCAAGACCAACTGGAGCTGGCTCAAGCTCGTCAACACCGCCGTGCTCTCCTACAACCTCGGCGATCTCGCGGGCGGCACCAACGGGTACATCAACACCTGGATGGCGATCGGCCTCACCTCGCACTTTTACCTCCGCAAGTACCACGCGAGCTTCTTCAGGAAGTACAACTACCTGTTCGGCGCGGCCATCGACGGAGGCGCGCAGATCTTCGTGTTCATCTTCTCGTTCTCGGTGGGAGGCGCGGGCGGCGTCAGCCCCGCGTTCCCCGTGTGGGCACTCAACCCTGCGGGCAACTCGGACTACTGCAAGGTTACCGATAACCAGTCGTAGTGTTTCGCGTTCGATCTGGTTTGTGTGTAATAGCTAGATTAAATTTTACTGTACGGTTATACCTCCCATTTGTCTCAAGCGTGAGCATCAGTGAGCGAATCGGCGACTTCTGAGAATGGCTATGACGGGGGCCAGTGGATAACGACCTCATAGAGGAGGACGTTCAATGATTGTGTCACTGCAAACCAAACATGGAGATGGGAAGAGAAGAGACAACCATGCGGCTACGAAGCACGTCTAAATGTGCTGCGCATGAAGCAGTCCAAGTAGGTCGCCTTTGACGGGAGACCGATAAGGAGCGGAACCTGGCGTGTAAATGGTCGGCCTAAGGTGTCCAATGTGGTACGAAGACTCTCACCAGATGATGTGCGGCGAGCTGTCTGCCTCTCTGAGCCAATCCAGCATAACCTTTCCCAAAGCGCAAATTTTGAGCATCCGACCTGTGACATCGTGACTGGAGGGGGCTTGCTAGATAGTATAGAGTTCTGGTATAGATGCGGGCGCGGATCCGAAGCAAATGTGAGAGGGGAGAGATTCCTTCCGGGCCCACTACGGCCGGCGCCCATACGGTGCTGTAGACGGAGGTCAATCGCACAACAACCGGCCAGTGTAACTTTGTCAGTGAGCAGATGGATCGGGGAGGCAAGGGTCATCCATGTCATGCAGACAAACTTGCGACGGCCGAGTTGAGGCAGAGCTCGAGGCTTGCGATGAGACGCCATGCAGATCATATCTGGACAAAGAGCCAAGTCAATATATCCTCCGGGATCCGTGCCATGGTAGACCGTAGATAGAGGCGATTAATATTATCGGTCTGCAGATGCCCGACGTCGACGTGTCGTGGTCAACTCGCAACGGGCGCCTAATTTGCGCATACGGTGTGTAGCACCGCCACTTACCTCTCCTGCGCTGGAACTCTTCTGCCGCGGGCGCGTCCATTGATCGTAGCGCGCTACTCGACCCGTCTTGCACCATCCAACGTCACGGAGCCGGGCTCCCTCTGCGCGCTGCCGCCGCCAACCTCGCCATACTTCCTGTAACGACGCTTACATACAAGCATGGACATGGCCTCGCCGACGTTGGGCGGCCGCGCGCCCTCACCTTCGCCCTCAGCAGGACCCATCGTCGAGGAGGAGGAATACTACTCATCGTGGTCACTGTTCCTCGTCTGCGCGCTCTTGATCCTATCGCTTTGGACGTCGTACTATCTTCAGATCAAGCGCATACGAGCCGTGCATGAGACAGTCGTCTCCATCGTTGCCGGCATGTTTGTAGGGCTGGTCATACGAATTGCGCAAGCGGATGCTATCCGGGAGATGCTGGTGAGTCTCGACCATCGCGTTTATCTTCGTCACTTCTAACTATCCTGCGGTAGACGTTCAAACATACGTTGTTCTTCAACCTTCTCCTACCCCCTATCATCCTTAACTCGGGCTACGAATTGAAGCAGGTGCGACCCTTTCTCAGACGCATCGCACTCCTTGTTTAACCACGTATTGACGCAGGAGAACTTCTTCCGAAACTTTGGCTCTATCCTCACATTCGCGTTTTTGGGCACCTTCATATCCGCCATCGGAGTCGGGTACGTTCGGCGCCGTGTCCTGTGCTAGTGCCACTCACCAACGTAGTATAGGGTTCTTGTCTACATATGGTCCTCCCTCGGCCTTGAGCACCTCAACCTCACCCCTCTCGAATGTCTCATCTTTGGGTCCACTCTATCCGCAACGGATCCTGTGACGATTTTGGCCATATTCAACCAGTATAAAGTCGACCCAAAACTGTATACCGTCATCTTCGGCGAATCTCTTCTGAACGATGCTGTGTCCATCGTCATGTACGAGTACGTATTCATCGTCCCACCACCATCATCGATCCGGTTCTCATGTATCATCTAGGACGCTCTCGAAGTTCCACGGCACAGAAGTGTATCTCCAGTCACTCTTCCACGGCATCGGCATCTTCTTGCTCACTTTCACCGTCTCCATGGCCCTTGGCGTCATCTTCGGCCTCGGCATGTCCCTCGTCCTCAAACACTCCGCCCTCTCCCACTTCCCCCGCCTAGAGTCTTGCCTCGTCGCGCTCTCCGCCTACACCTGCTATTTCTTCTCCAACGGAATCACCATGTCCGGAATTGTGTCCCTCCTCTTCTGCGGCATTACGCTCAAGCACTACGCGTACCACACCATGTCGCGCCGAACCCAACGCACGAGCAAGTACATCTTCGCGACCCTCGCCCAGCTCTCGGAGAACTTCATCTTCGTCTACCTCGGCCTCTCGCTCTTCACCTCCGCGCCATCCTCGAAGGTCACGTCCTACTTCAAGCCCATCTTCGTCACGATCACGACCGTCTGCGTGATCTTCACCCGCTACGCCGCCGTCTTCCCGCTCTCCGAGGCGATCAACTTCTTCCATCGGCACGCGAGGGGACAGCGCACGGACGAGCTCCCGCACTCGTACCAGATGATGTTGTTCTGGGCCGGCCTCCGCGGCGCGGTCGGCGTCGCGCTCGCGGCCGGGTTCCAGGGCGAGAACGCGGAGACGCTCCGGATCACGGTTCTCGTCGTCGTCGTGCTCACCGTCGTGCTCTTCGGCGGGACGACGGCGCGGATGCTCGAGGTGCTCGGGATCCGGACCGGCGTCGAAGACGAAGCGGCGAGCTCGGACGAGGAAGACGAGTTGCCGGTCGTCGGTGGCGCCGGCGGCGGGCGCGCGGCGTGGATGCGCCGCAGGGGACAGCGCGCGTGGTACGCGGACGAGGAAGAGGACTCGTACTTTGCCGCGCAGCAGACGCGCGCTTCGGCGCGGGCGGCGGTGCCGGCTGCAGCAGCGAACGGCCCCCGGATCGGCGTGCACTACCCGGTCCCGCCCGCGTACAACCACCACGCGCTGGCGAGGGCGGGCTCGCCCGCGACGCGGGATACCGTGTTCTCCGCCGCGTCGTCGGATTCGTACGACTCGGACGGCGGCGAGGTGCTGCCGCTCGCGCCCACCGCGGCGGCGGCGGCGCCAGGCGAGGCGGCGACCCCGAGGCGGGGCGCGGTGCCCGCCGCCGAGCACGACGGGAAGTGGTTCCAGGCGCTGGACGAGCGCTACCTGATCCCGCTCTTCTCGAACGCGACCGCGAGCCGGACGTTCCACGCGAAGAAGGCGCAGCGGTGGAGCGCGATGCATCCGTCCGGGGGGAACGGGGTGGGCACGCCGATGGAGGGCATGAGCGAGGACGAGGGCGAGGAGCGCGAGATCGATCTGACGGGCGTGGGGCAGGGTGGCGCGGCGGAGCGGTTCGCGAGGGGGGAGGGGAGCAGGAGCGGGAGCGGGGCGGCGTCGCCGAGGGGCTTGTCGAGGACGTCGAGCAGGACCGGGGTGCATTCGATGTCGTTGGAGGAGAGCAGGGCGGAGAGGGGGCTTGCGAGTCCCATGTTGCGGACCAATGGCGGGCAGGGTCAGGGTTCCGAGGACGGACAGCAGCATACGTGAAGACGTGGAGGATATCTAGACGTGTGGTTGTGTTCGTAGCTTGTTTTTACGATGCATGGAAACGGTTTGTCTGCCTCATTGAGTGCCGACCAGACGCTACTAAGTACATCTCGACGAAACAACGCCGGTAAACTAAGATCGCAAGCCCATTCATCCACTTCTCTGGACCGTTTCATGATCAAGTTTTGGTATGAAGCTACCACTTACTCTGAGGAGGATGCCACGATCCAGGGTCTCGAAAGTTCGCCAGCCTTCCCCGACCTTCCGGGAATTTCCGGATGCGGAAACCGAGCCCGCCGTCGTTCCTTCTCGAAAGCGCTCACCTCCCGCCGCGTCAGCCTCTGCTCGACTCATGGCTTATGCATCCCGCTCGTAGTTTCCTATAAGGGCTAACATGGAGGGGCTCATCGACCTTCATCTCAGCCGCCCGAGATAATCACCACCGATCATCTACATCTACCCTCCGAATTTGCCTGTCATGCTCGCGTTCGTGCCGGCTACCCCAGTTCATCAGCAGCACGTCCTCTTCCGGACTTCCGGGCTAGGCGATAACAATGACGGCTACGGCTACTCACACCGGGCTCCAACCTCGGCATACAGCCGTCACGCTTATGGCTACCACACGACCCTCGCCGAGCACGATTACCTCCTCGCTCGGGCCCGCCGCGAAGCGCTAGAACGTCAACAAGCGCAGGCTTACCACCGCCAACGCCAACGGCGGCATCAGCAAGAGCTCCTCGCGCTCTTCGCCGCCGACCTCGCGGAAGAACTAAGTCGAGCGCGAATACGAAAGCAACAGGAGGAGGATGCGCGTCGCCAGCAGGAGGAGCTTCTCGTGCTCCGACAGCGTTGGCAGCGACGGCGCCTCCAGGAGATTGCCTGGCGTAGACAGCACGCTCTAGCCGAGGCCGAGCAACGCCACCGCCAGGAGGATCTCGCGCGCTTCGAGCAGGCTAGACTCAGGCAGCAGCAGGTTGAGCTGTCGAAGGTCATCGAGGCATTATTTGTGCATTCGGAGCCTGAGCGAGAGCAACAGGTAAGCTTGCTTGCCATCTGGGCGTACACGATGGGGAACCTAATTCATGCTCTCCTTCAGCCCGTCTCTGCCCCGTGTGCGACGCACGCCGAAGTTCCTCGCGCCCCTGTCGATGTCAAGGGGAAGGGCAAGACGAAGGAAGAGCCCAATTCTGCCCCTTCTTCCGACTCCGCGTCTCGGGATTCTGTTGAAGATCTGCTCCTGCAGCGTGCTCAGGTCGAGAACGACCAAGAAGTCCAGGAGGCGCTGGCGACGTTGCTCCGGTCCCTCTTCACCGGTTCAGCTCCTGCCCAGGCTCAGGCTCCGAAGGAGCGGAAGAACGTCCGGTTCGACGTGAACGAGCAGGTATGCACCATTTATTTTCACCTGGGTCGGTTCTCCGAGGACTCACCCGCGTTTGCTTTCTTCAGGTCGGCCCATCAAATTCTTCCGCTGAGCCCGCCACTTTCTATCAAGGAGAGCCAGCCACTGCTGCGCTTGACCCGAGCCCTTCGGCGCCGGGAACATCGTCTCTGGAGCGCAAACCCGCCCTCGCGGGCGCGTCGGCCGAACAAGTCCGTGCGCACCGTCATCAGCGCACCTCCTCCCTCGATGAGATCGTCAACATCCGTGCGTCGTTCGACTCGCTCTCGTCCGACTTTCATCTCCCGGAGCACCTCGACTTCAGCCCCTCCCCCACCGCGTCTCGGTCGCCCTCGCCCGTCTCCAACCAGCCCGGCGAATCGGAGGGCGAGGAACCCCTCGCGTACACGGCGAACAACCGCCCCTTGCACCAGTACACCCATGCGCTCGGATTGCTCCTCGCGCGACTCGACGCGGTGGAGAGCGATGGTGACGAGGGTGTGAGGAGGGCTAGGAAGGAGGCGGTAGTCGTCGTTGAGCATGAGCTGGAGAGGGTCGAGCGCGAGGTGGAGAGGCAGCGGCCCGGCTCGCCTGCTCCGACGGAAGACATCGCTGATGCGAAGAAGGAGGTTGCACTTGAGGGAACGGCTGCCGACCAGGAGGCGAGCGCTGCTGACACCCATGCTGGCATCCCCTCTATCTCTTCAGAGGCTTCTGGACAACCTATAGCGGCTTCCCAACAAGTTGCAGAGACTCTGCTCTCGCCCGAAGATGCTCCTGCGCATGCAGCTCAAACGGCCGTCGTTCCCGTTGACGACGCCGAATCTATACCCGCTCCTCGCACCACCTCCCCAGTACCTCCCAACGTCGATCTCGTTGGCACCGTCACGGACGCCTCCGAGTCCTCTGACGCACCAGCCGAGCTGCTCGACCGCAACGAACACGCGAATTCGCCAGCAGAGCAGGCTGCCGAATTGTCCTATCAGGGATCTTTTCCAGAGTCGCATTCGCAGGATTCGACTAGTACGTTGTCTTCCCAACCCGAGCTGGCTGCGTCCGTGCGCACGTCGCGTGACGACGATGTTCCCGTCACCCTCACCGAGGGTGCGTTCCAACCCGAGGAGGCCACCTCGTCGGATGCGCCCTCATCTGAAGCACCCCGACCGGCTGCCGACGCGACCTCACGACCCGGTGAACCAGCGACGGCGGTCTCTGACCCATCAGCCTCGAGCGCGGTGTCCGACGACCTCGGTACACACGATCACGCCGAGGCTCCACCGTCCCCGATCGACTCGAACGTCTCTGCTCCGTCAGCGTTCACATCCGACGCAGAAGGAGAAGAGGATGCCGCGGTTGTGATCGGGCACGCCGAGGTGCCTCCCGCCAGCGACGCGAACGACCACTCGGGCGACGATTACGATGGTTGGTCGGATGTCGAGAACCACCTCTGAGCATATCGTGGTATCTATCGGCTTACTATATGATTGTAGTATACCCCGTCTGTATAATAGTATATAACTGCTAAGTTTGTGCAAGTTCGGTCGGTCCACTGGATTGTACAGTCCTTCTGTCAAACTTCCGTGCGAGGAACTCGAACGAGTACTTGGAGACCGCGACCAATCCCGCGTTCGCATTTAAGCACACCTCCTAGTTCTCTCACTGCGTTATGACCGGGACGTTGTCACTTACGCCGAGAAACATGAACGACTCCTTGAGTCTCGTCACTATATATTCGTCGACGTGTCTCGTTGCTCGCTGTCGATGAACTGGCGTGGAGACACCGATGTCTACGGACCGAGGACGGGTCAGCCAGGGGCAGTGAGTACGATGGACGCTGTCGTTGCCGCGTGCGGTCCTCGTACCAACCGAACAATGCACCACCAGCATCCAGGGGACAACTTTGGGAAGCGACGTTGACTCTGTACTCAGACAGACCGAGTAAGAAAAGTTCACTCCTTTTCGATCGTGCAACTAGGGTTGGGCTGCGGGCTCAGAGCTCTAGTATAGCACAGATGGATGGCTGAATGGGCGATGGGCATGAACCGTACCGAAATGACGTCGATGTGGCCCAGCAAGGTAGCACAAGCAGCAAGCACAGAGCAATTCATATGCAAATATGGAGAGCTGAAACGACAGCTGGAAGATATCCGGTGAGCTGGACACGTAGCGTCATCACAGCGCGCAGCGGCTTACATGTTTTGGGGATATCGCGGTCATCGCTCTCCTGACACTACACGACGCCCAGCCCCTCCTTCAACTCCTTGGCCAGCTCGTCTTCCTGCCGCTTCTCTTCCCTTTCCTTCTCTGTCATCTCGCCCTCCTTCTCCTGCAGTTCCTTCTCCTCCTTCAGGCACCTTTCGCAGGTGCATTTTCCGAAGCCCCAGTCGCCGAGTCGCCGCCTACGCGCGGGAAGGGGGAGTTCTGGGTTCACGTAGGAGATCTGGCCCGCAACGGGCGGGATGTCAGATAGATGCGCGAAGGGGCGAGGCTGTAGTATATACAGCAATCAGACTCACTGTTAGCTCTTGCCCTGGCAATATGGTTTGCCTTGCGATCACGGTGATTCTCGCAAGCGCACTGCGCTGATCGAGATGCCGCACAGATACGTTCGGGGCGCACGAGTGATTGAGATGAGAATGCAAAGTGTAGAGCCCTCCATGGGACTCCAGATCTAGGATCGCGTCAGCGTCGGGAAGCCAAGTATCCCAGGACATTGGTCGTACTCAGACTCATTCGCCCCAGGTTATGAAGCGTCGCGTCGTAATCAAACAACTTTGTGTCTATGTCGTCCGGCAAAGGCTTCTTGAGGATCTTGGCCAGCTTCTTTTTGTTCGCCTCCAAGGGCGGTTCCTTGAAGGCGTGCACGATGAGTTGGTGTGCCTTTTTCCACGCGGCCTTGTCGAACTCTTCTCCTGCAGACCTATAACCAAAGCGCTTGCAGTCAGCGTGACGAGACAGTCGAGTACACATTGTGCACGTACCACGTCTCCCGCAAATCTCTCATCCTGTCTTCCATACCCAGTTCGGCGAACGAACTGAACAGCTTCCAATCGTTCTCCAGCACCTTCTCGTCCTGTTGGTTTGCGAGCAGTATTTTCGCCGTGCAGTGCGCCAGGGCTTGCAGCGCCATCCACTGGTAGCTCCGCGCAAACGCCAGCAGTGGCGCGCTTGCGGGGTTCTTGCTCGGACATAGCAAGGGATGGACGACGGCGGAACGCTGGAGACAAAGTCTGGAGCAGAACCGACCCGGGCAGAACGAGGCCGAGGTCGAGTCCGGGCAATTGACGATCAGTCGCGAGTCGATGTTGAGAGGCGTGGTGCAAAACGCGCATGCACGTCCGTTCCTCTGCAGGTCGTAGATTTCCCTGAAGATATTTTCGTCTCATAAATACCTAGAGTTCACTCTTGCGTACAGTATACTTGCGTACCATTCAGGACCAATGACCCACGGATCCTCCTTCCATATCACATCTCCCTCCCCAATCTCCTCCTTCGCGACTAAACCCTTCCCCTTCTCCTTTCCAAAGTTCCTCACCTCGACCTTCGTCGTCCATTTCGCGATATCGAGGTCCTTGATCACGCTCGACTTCGGGTATGCCGTCCTCGACGCGCTCGATCCGCCAGGCGGCGCGACGGTCAACCCGGCGCTTTGCACGACCTTGCGCGTGCGTTTTTCGGAGACGCTCCAGTCCGGGTGCGTCGAGCTCAGCAGAGCGTGCAGTTTCGGTATGCCCAGCGTCGGGTTTTCAGCGCGCAGGGTCGAGAGCGCTTCCTTGAGCTCGTCCTCCGTAGGCACGGTCGTGCCCGGCATCGTAGTCACCTAGTCGACGTTCGCGCCCGCCCACGATGGAGGTCGATAGCAGTGCCAGAACAGATCGCTGCAGATCGTCGCACTGCAGCGTCTAACGGATCATCCAGCCACATCTTCAGCATTAATATTCGCAGAGGTAACGAGCGCTTATGAGCAGGACAAGGGGCACCAAAGTCCAACGTGTGTTTACGGTCTGATTGCCGGCCATGTGTGCGAATTAGTGGTGCAGCTCCCCCCCAAACCCGATGGCTACCCCATAGACGAACGGCCTGATTATGATGAATACGATACTCTACGAATGAGACCGCTCGAAGTCAATTCTCCACTGTCCGAACCCTTCGAGAGGCACGGTTCCGCACAAGCGACCCGTAATCTGCCTCAACTCATCCAGACACTGCGAGGATGCAATCAGTACCTCGATCGTAACGACACGCCATGCTGCTCAGGAATACGCACTGCGGCAAGCTGGAACACGCCGACGAGCGCCGTCGCATAGTACGCGTAGTCCAAAGAGCGCAACTGCGCTTCGTCCACGCGGGGCATCGTGATGGGCTTCGTTCCGCCGTTGGAGGCGTCGACTTCCGGACGAGGGGTGCCGAGTTTGCCGTGATACAAGGCACGATCGAGAAGACTGATGTCCAAGACTTGGTGTAGGGGCTGGCCGGTCCGCAAGGATTGGGCGACGAGGATGAATGTCGACATGACGTCCGTGACCTATCATTGCCATAAAGCCTGCCGTAAGGTACATGATGCATGCACGTTCACTCACGAAGTTCGGGTTCACGACTTTAGTATGACGGAGGTAGGCGATGCGCACGTCGTCATCGGTTAGTGTCAACGCTCCGCCAATCTACGCCCGAGCGCATGTCAGCACGTCTCGTCATCGGGGACAAGGTGGAAGAAACCGAATATTTACCTGCGCAAGGGCACTGATCATATCCGATTCAATGCCAATGAGTTTCTGGTATTCGTCCACCGGCCAAGCGCCCCTGATATTGCCTTCCCAGACAGCCATGGCCGTCTGCTGCCTCAACGCCCCGATCTCCGTAGAAATGGACACTATCTTCTCGCGCATCTGCTTGCGGAAGTCGTTCTTCCAGCTCTTTTCTTTAGGCGTGTCGGTGCCGTTCTCGCCCTTAAGCTCGTTGCCGACGTCAGGCATAGCTATCCATTTCGACATCATGAATGCGTAGAGATCTGCAACGTTCGTGAGGATGGTCGCGTTGCGAAGCCTTGCATGTACCATCAGTATATATCGTGTGCGTGGGTCAAAACAAGACGAAGCGTACCGAACGGCCTTCCTGCCAGATTGAGGAGGGAGGCACATCATGATGAACGATGCACCGCATCCTGTACATGCAGCTATCGGTAACCTTGGACACGGAATTTTGCGTGAAATGACTCACCGATCATCACAAGAACAAATCGTTTCCACGCGATCGGCCACCCGATCCCGGGATTACCGAAGAGAGGGAGCTTGGCATCTATCCACGAATAACCCACCACCAGCACGAAAGTAGCCTAAGGTTCATCGTAAGTACGAGGATGATGTTCAGACGTGACGAGAGAAGCGACGCACACAACCCATCAACACGCCGGTCAGATATTGAAGCGGCGCAAAAAGACGGATGAACATGACCGGCACCAGGAAGACACCTACGGCGGCTGCAGTGCCGTAGGGGTTACCATTGCTACTCGCGTTACCTGTGTTCGAGTTCAATGACCGGTGTATGTGGAGTTTATTGGATGAAATACTCACCTAGATACCAGACAAGCAGCCCTATAACGGCACCGATGAATGTACCGAGAGATCGAGTTACAAGGCTAGCGAGTTCATCGATGAGCCAGTGACCAGATTATCTGGGGCAATGGGCAACTTACTTGTAGATATGATCCGAGGCATAGATGTTGAGCGTAGTTTGCGCCATAATGAGAGCCCTATGCAGCCAGTCAGTGTCTAAACGCAAGTTATACATGACAGCGTTCTCACCAGAGGCCCTTCTGCTCGTAGTTGAATGCTTGCAAAAATGTCAGACAACACAATCGAACTATCTCGTCAGAGAGCACGCACCTGCACTTGACTTGAACACGGCCGGAAGCCAGAGGGCAATGCTGACAAAGGTATACTTGAACGCAAACTGCGCAGGGTAGATCCGTCAATACACGACAAGCAAAACAGGAGAAAGGCCGTTACCAATGCCTCAGGTGTCTTCGACCACTTGTACGACCGATGGATGACGTCCATCACTCTCTGAAAGACGTTGGCGGGTGGCTTGCTATCCGGATCCCTCCCGTACTCAATCTCCTCCTCCTCATCTTCTTCCTCCGGCACCACGTCCTCTCCTGCGGCAGCGTTCTGCCCTGCTCCGCCTTTCGATCGGACCGCCTTCCACACCGTGCGGAGACCCTTCGGAGCCCACAGCCGCGTCTTCTTGCGCTTATCCACGAGCGCGCGGAGAGCGTTCAGAAAAGCAAGTATCATCTCCGAGGTGATGATTCTATCCGTCAAGAACGTTCAGAAGCGTACTCAAGGGGTTGACAACAGACACCTACAGGTTCACGGCGAACACCAATGAGATGTGTAACGACCTGTGCGGTAGATTTTCTTGCCCTTGTTTTCCCTCCGTTTCGGGGCGCAGCGCCTTAACATATGGATCAAGCATCGCCTGCCTCTTGGTCAGCTTGAAGTCCTCTAGCGCGCCCTTCAGCCCCGCGATCGACTCATCCAGCAATCTGATCCTCTCTTCCACGTCCTTCGCGGCCCTCTGCCACCTCTTCTTGTTGGTACTGTCGATGACGGTCTGCGCGGTCGACAGGCCCCTGACACAAGCCTGACGAAGGTCGGAGGTCGCGTCCTTGAGGCGGGGAAGGCTATCTTCCAGAGTGAGGGAGTGGGTCTGCTCCGCCTCCAGCTGCTCGTTGTAGAGTTGCTGGAGGATAAGGGTATCATGGCCGTGACCGTGGGCAGTCTTCTCTGAAACAGAGTCCTTGTCGGCTGCGTCACCGGTCTCTATTGGCGACTTCGGATCGTTAGCCCGGAGCCCGGCGGTGCTGAAAACGTTGGAGAGCACTGTAGTCCAGTTGCATAGGCCGGCTAAAGCATGCACTCTATTAGTTGTGCACCCCAACGGAGGCTTCATACCACGTACCGATACGTGTGATGATGCCCAGCAAGGACTGCTCCAATTCCAGGATGTCGTCCCCGTTCCATTTTCCCCAGCTAAACTCGAGGTTTATGAAGACCGCGGTTCCTTGCACTGGCCGCGTTCGCATTAGCTTCAAAATCCACCAGATGTAAAAAGCATGAACAAGTACAACGCACATCCCTGCCATTTCGCGACCAAGCCGGCCCGAGTACCGGATATCTTGCCCTTCATGGCTGCGACGGTCTCGTGGGTGCTGTCTAACGCTTCGTCTTGCATGGCCACTAGGCCTTTTAGTGCACCGCAGAAGCCGGCGAGGGCTTCGAGGTGCGCGTGATTGATGGTTTCGGGGAACACGAGCGTGATCAGGACGACGCCGATTGCAGCGTAGCACGACGCCGAGATAAGAATCGAGTTCAGGATAGTATATTGTGCGAAGGGGAACAGCGGGCCATAGCTCTAGAAGCGGTCGAGGAGTGAGGTCCATGGTACACAAGTTGCGGTACTCAATCGGCTTACGCAGAACTGCTCAAAACCGTCAGTGACCTGTTATGTATGTACCGACGGCGGCTACTCACAACATCCAAGGAGATTGTGCCGAATATGCTGAGAACCATCAACTTCGGTAAATACGCTCGCGCCAAAGCGAGGAAGAATGTCCCTGCAGCAAGAAAGACACCGAAAACGACGGACGAGCTAGAGAATAGTTGAGCGTGACGTTATCAGACGAACGAAGAGACAGACATACTCCGTATCGAGGAATTGACCCTGGAAAACTTCAGCTTTGAACTCGGCATCGGGATTTTGAGAGCTGGCAGCTCTACCACGGGTCCCAAGCGTCAGACAATGGATGCCGTGCGGCGTAGCATTGCGATGTATGATACCGACCTTTGCTGAGCCTGTTGTAGGGTGTGTTTCAACAGTAGTTGGCTGCGAGCGGCCAATGCGCCTCTCATGGCTGCCGATCCTAGACCCCATCCCACCAAGAAGCCCATCATGACCATAGCAATAGCCTGAAACGAGTGCGCATGAGCCAACGTGACCTCAACAGAGGCACCATGGAAAGCGCACCAGCACGAACAACTGCAGGGGCATGCTTGGTGCAACGATCATGCTGACGAGCGCAGTAAAGAAGGCCGCATTACCAAGGGTGGTCAATGATTGGTTCGGGAGGATGATAACGAAAGCGACCCAGGACGCGATCCAGCATCGTATCTATGCAAACGAACAAGTCAGTTCGATCCCAAAGCTACTCGACAAGTCCACGAGCTAGCTTTGTACAGCTTCGAGGGGCAAGTTTGTGCATGATATCGGTCTTTGCGAGCTCGACGTACAAGGGTTTTACGCGACTTCGGTGACTTCAGGTTGTCCGTCACCCATGATGGAAGCGCCATCCCGCCACTGCGCAAGCCCGACGAACGGTGTAGACGCTTGTGTCAGTAGTTGTATGGACGTTAGTAGTTGTGTCGACGAAGACGACGTGAACGCGAGCATTGCATTTGAACAAAGTTGATGGACTTGAGACATACAACCACGGGGGAAAGGCCGACCTAACCGGCCCTAACGGGTGCATCAGCGAGTTTACGTCATCAGTCGGCCTCATCTCCTCCACCTCGACCGTTGACTGGCCCAAAGCTCCGAGTCGGACATTGCGCGCATATGTCCTTTTGATCAACACTTCACTGTGCCGCGGATTCCTCCGACGGACGAAAGCAGTACTCGTAAACGGGATGATCCCGATGACGAGCCGGCGCCCTGTCGTGTTGATGACATGACGTTCAGTTCACTCAACACGATAATTTCGCTCTGCCAGAAAGGCACTGCGAGGTAGACCAGGTCTATATGACGTTTGCTTGCGCCGGCTATGACGCTTATGCTGCTCGGACCATTGTGATATGGTCCACTCCTGTACTGCCTTGATTCATATTACGTCTCGGCCGAGCAGCGCGGCGCACACCGAGGCTTCCGTCCATATGGACCAACAGTCAAACAGTCTTCGCGTTCTGATGTCTTCTTAGTGCTTCGCTTCAGTGCCCGCTCATGCCCATGGTCTATGATGTATGCCTATACAAACCTCATTCGAACGGGGAATCGTAATTCGGAAAGAGATGGGTGGAGTTCGCACCTCGCTCAGCAGCGGTTGCTTCTGCCACACGGCCCTGACAAGAGCAATATTCTCATCGTTATACACCATACAGGATCAGAAGTAGCTCATGGCCACACCTTCATCTAGGATCATCATCACCTTAACGGACGATCACCCTCCACTTCAACCTAATGTATCAGCGCCCATGGTGCGAATTGAATCAGTATTGTGAGGGTTTAAAAGGCCGTTGCCCCCATTACACGAGCAAGCCAGATTCTTGACGACTTCAGTGCCGCAATCAACGATAATATGTGGACCGTTTCTGCCGAAAAAGCGGATTTTCTGCGCGTCGCCTCGATCAGTATTGCGCTATACGAGTGAAGTTATCATCATCCTTGCATCACCCCTACTGACCACGCATAGCAGTTATCTCATGACAATTCCATCGGAGTGGCGATTTTACACAGCCCAAAAACCAAGGAAACGACCTAGGTAATGGCACACTCTCAACGAGATATATTGAGGCTAAATCGTTTCCTCTAGTTTGTCGTGCTGCTTTTTTGTTCTTATACGATACACCAGCGTCATTTGTCTCGTTGTCAGCAACTACGGATATTTCTCTAGCTCGTTCACAGAAAACTCATGCAGGCGTTATTACATGGTTGCTCCGATCTTCAAAGGTAACCTCGATGGGTTCTCCGTTGCAAGAGAATTTTTGAACATTCTTGTACTAGTCTTACAGCAAATCGTGTCGCAAGCTATCATGTTTCATCGGGCTTATACAATATCGAAGAGGAATCAATACGTTCTATGGGGACTAGGGTCACTATTTATTGTCTGCGGCGTGGTAAGCCATTATGCTCCGTGCTATTGGGATGACAAACCTGGGCGCAGCTCGAGGCTGTCTCCAATTGGATGGGTCGCTTCCGTGGGTCCGGTTGGTTTCATCTACAGCAGGAAGCTGACACAGTTCATGCTAGCTTTTGTGGATGTTCCTCGGCATAAGTTTGTTGTGGTTCTAAGCCCACATCCTCAACCGCGACCTGATGCATGTTATAGTTGTATACCGGTTGCTCCTCGCTCAGGCATCGCGGCCTACCTCTTCAATGTGTTCGCCATGCAATTTGACTTGGTTGTCTTGATCACATGCGGGTGCTTTCTCTGGCAATTCCGTAGGCCATCTGTGTCCGGAAGGTCAGTCAATGTTCTGCACAGATACTTGGCCTTTTAACATAGACAACCGACAGTGCCGCACGCACAGTGAAGATGTGCGTGCATATATGTATCTGTCTTCGAGCCGTCGAATGTTGATTCTGCGCAGGATGCTATACGGCGGGGTCCTGTATTTCATCATTTTGGCTGGTGCGTGTTCCCCTTTAATTTATTAGGTCCAGACTCAGCCGAGCTTTTACTAGTGTTCAATCTCATGAACCTGATATTCTACAAATACGGAAACGAGGGTCTGCAAGTAGGTCATGCGCGTACTTGAGAGTCCCTTGTAGCTGACGTACCTCTGCCGCAGTCTGCTGGGTACGCGTATCGTTAACAAGTCCCCAAGTTGATCTGCTAATCACATTGACCATACAGGATATCTCTACAGTATACGATGACGTGGGTTATGTCCCAGAGAATCCTCATTCGGCTCCAAGGTGCATCGCTACGTCAAACCATTGATGAAACCATGATCACTACTAACTTGATGAACGCAAAATATTAGAAGCATCCAGGAAAGCCGGGGTCACTGAGACCATCCTTATTACCAACGCCGTCACTCCAGGGCCTCCCATCAACCGTACCTTCCGTGCCCAAGTGAACTGTCAGCGGAATGCGACAGCCGACGAAGAGCTCGGTGAGGGACGCGGTTCCAAATTCTCTTCTGGAGAAGGTGCCCGTCGTTTCAACCCTGACATCGAGCTCCCTGTCCGCGTCCGCGTCGATAAGAGCGTTAAGGTTCAATGGGATAGCCTCTCCTCCACGAATGTCTCGAAGACATGATTTCACAGGAGCGGGTACCTGTACTTGTGAATTCTACGCGCACTCGAGGTAATCGTGATCCGAACGGTGAGAAGGTCGTGACAGACGGTCTCGTGCAACGTGCATATGTACAATAGCACCATAGCCTCCGATGCCATGTGCAAACTTGAGTCTTCGTTCAGTCCTCTTTAATTGCGCTGCATACTCGTTCCCGGCTCGAGAAAATTTACCGGGATGCGTTACCCACATGACGTCTCGGCGGACGTTAACGCCGGGATACTGAACGACGACTTTTGATGGGCGCTTTGGGACGTTGTCGATATCGCTCCGTGTTTGATTCTCTCGATATGGTCAGAGTCAGAAAAGCCGAAGCCAAGACCGTCCCCTGGGAGACGAAGCTCATGTCGTCGAACATGGCCATGATCGGCTCCCGGATGCGCTCTTTGGAGGCGTCGCGAGTGCGGGCGGAGGCAGAGTTGAGCACGTCGTAAGAGATCTGCGTGTTGTTGTCGGGGATACCTGTCGGCGCGGGTCAGTATGGTGTGCGCATAGGGCATTTATAGGCGACCTCGAGCCCGTGACCTGCTCGTCCGGCACCCAGTGTTGCATATCCGCGACAAAGTGCATCTTCTCCATCTCCTGCGCACTTCGACTTGATGTTTGATCCTCTTGTGGCCTTGAGCGCCACGATCTTCTTCATCCTGATGCTTGGCAGTCTCATCTCCGGGATTTCCGTCGTTGCTGCCGCGGACGCCGTCAGCAACGCAATGTTGAGAAATACTGACGGGCGCCCCGCCGAAGCACGATTTCAGACGTTTTATCATTAGACGAGGAACCTGTAACACTTACCAGCTCGCCCGTGGCCCATGGGACCCCCCGATTTGGCAGCGCCCTTGACTCAGGTTACGCGTTCATGCTCATCTCATCTCGCCCAAACCAGATCAGTTTTCGTAAAAACTGGATTCATGAATCTGCGCGTTGAGCGCGAGCACCACGGCTCATCAGCGATGTCGCTGCCCAAGGTGATGCTGAGGTATCGGCGGACGCGCCCAGCAGTCATTGCGGTTCAAGGGCACGATCAGGCGGAGCTCCTTCATCGAGCGCGCGTGCTTCTGCATCTATCTCAGTATGCGGTAGTACTGCATGCATCGCACCGTGCCACCGTCGCAATCAAGGAGTGTTCATATCTATCGCACCGCGGTGAACAGCTCGGTCTGATCGGGTATTCCGGTCGCCTCACCGGGTAATCCAAATATAGCTTGCCTTATTCCTTTTGCTATCTCTCATCTGATCGGCGCTCGAGTAGTCTATGGATGCGTTCGAATTACCGAAAGCACAGCGGTGTGTGATGGGTGTTTTATCCGACATGGTTCAATCACTACATTCTGTTGGCCTGCGGCGCGGTGTGAAAAGTCTAAAATATGGGGCTCCGTGGAGTCCTCCATGATTCCTCCAAGGTGGACCAGGTGCTCAAGTGCGATCGGCCTTACGCCTCGTCAACCGTCAGACATCTGGGAATTCTGTTTGGATCTATTTTTCTGCCAGCGCGGTCCTATGTTTATCGCGCATCGCGGTAGAAACGTCTATATAAGCGGATCTGCCGATACAATGAGCAAGGCAAACGGACATGCAAGATACAGGCGAGGCGGTCACGACAACTGGTATGTCTATTCCCTTTTTTCTGCCCTGGTACTCAGCTGGCGATCATATTCACTCGTTCCTTGACCACACACAGAAGTAGTCACAGCAGACGCATCCATTCATAGACAAGACGATAGCAACATCTATTGCGGCCAGGAGATCTGCGAGTGCGCAAGTAAGTCTGTTTTTCTCTGTTGCTTCGAATGTTATTCAACTGCACCTTGCAGCAGCCGTGCCATCTGATACGAATGAGCGCTGCGATCTTGCACTCCAGCTTCACCAGAAATTCTGCCAGAATAGCGATCTCGACGCCGCACAGCAGTGCATCGAGCAATACGAGGCGCTCCTATCGGAGACGAAGGAACCAATTCCCTTCAGTTCTTTGATCCCAAATCCGGAGCCGCGCATCCCGCTCGATACCCGTCCGAAGCTACATCACATTCTCATTGGGCTGGCTGATCTATACGTGGATCGCTATAGGCACAAGTCCGAGCAATGCGATCTGGATATTGCGGTAAAATATGGGAAAGAAGCCCTGTCTATGTGCCGCACAGCTGGGATACGTTGCCCTACAGTACTGGGGCTATTCTCCAACATCTTGGATAGCAACGCGGATTACGTTTTCCGGAACGAAGATAGGATCGTTGCAGAGTCGCTCTGCAGAGAAGCCATCTCACTCTGCGCAACGGGAACCTACTTGGCAGCAACTATTCGCCTAAATTTGGCATGGATTCTGCTGATGTTATCCAGCAATAACGGGCCTCGTACTTTGATCAACGAAGCAGTCGACATTCAGCGACAGGCCTTGGTTGACCTGCCTCCGTCTCATTGTTACGATCAACATCGACACCTGCGATTCCTAGGGGAGTGTCTATACTATCGATACGAGTTTTTTGGAAGACCAGAAGATTTGGATGAATGCCTTGATGTTTACGCGCAGGCCGTGCACTTATGTTCAAAGATGCACATTGATCGGTGCAAGACAGTAACTGGGATGCTCTGGGCGCTATATGCGAAGGCTGCGCGCTCTGGCGCTATCGATGAGCTCAACAAAGCGATTGAACTTGGACTGAACACTCTCAAAGAAGTCTCCGGTGCTGGAAAGGGGCGCGTCAGATGCCTCCGTGTGGTAGCAGGTCTTCTCGACCTTCACCATCAGCTCGCTCCATCCGATGGGCGCTACCTCGAAAAGTCAGTCACTCTGAACCGGGAAGCGTTGCAACAGTGCCCTCCCAACCACACACACTATTGGATGTACGTGAGCAGCTTGGCGCGCAAATTGTATTTGCAGTACAACTGGACCGGAGAGATAAGTTGTCTCGAAGAATCTATTCAACTCGGGCGTTCTTCAATCGATTCAATTCCAACTACCCACCCTCAGCGATTCATTCCCGCTCGCCATCTGGCGCATTCACTGATGCTCCGCTTCAACGAGACAAGGCGCATCTCTGATCTCGATGAAGCCATCAAATGGGATCGTAGGGCCCTGGCGAGCAATGGGACCTCACATGTGTTCTATCCGGATGTTTCTGCTCAAGCTGTATCCCGTCTTTGCATGTTATTTGACGCTCGGGGCTCCTTCGAGGCTTTGGAAG